TCATGCGACATGTTGCTAAGGAAACGGCTCTTCGACTCCATAGCCTCCTTTAACTTGGTTTCCAGGAGTTTCAAATCGTTGATGTCGGTGGCAGAGCCGAAATAAGAGCTGGCGCCATTACCAAAGTCGACATTGTCAATCTCAACGCATCGAATGAGATGCCAGCGGTACTCGCCGGTCTTGGAACGAAGTCGGATCTCTGTTGTGTATGAGAGCTGGCCCTTGCTGTCGGTGCTGATCTTGATGACTCCCTGCCTCGCAAGCTCGGACAGGTTAGGACCGGCGAGATCGTTAGCAGAACTGCTGGTGCTACTGCTGTGTCGGGTGAGAGCTGGGTGTACGAGCCCAGACACATTTTCAACGTGAGGGGTAGCAGGCTGTTTGCCCATAGCGGCCATGCCAAACTTGCTGGGCGAAGGCGAATGATCATGCTTTGTCTTGTCCTGCCTGACATGCGGTGAGGTGGGTCGTTCGAGGGGAATCCGGCATTTAGCCAGATCCTCTGGGTGCACGAAATCCATGAAGCCAAGTCCGAGAACATCATCAAAGCCTTGTCCGGTATAAGAAAGCCATTGCTCGTTCGCGAAAGTGATACCCTCGTCTTCAGTTGCAGTGAAGATGATTTGGGGGATTAAGTTAGCAAGCAGACGATGTTTTGCCTCCGATACCTCGATCTCTTCCTGCCGTGCTGCTCTGAGCTGTGCGACATGCTGATCATGGATATCCATATATGAACCCAGGAACTGCATGATAACACCCCGCTTGTCCTTGGAGGCGACAGCCCGCGCTTGGAACCACCGATAAGCCCCGTCGAAGCGACGGATTCTTACGGTCTCTGAAAGCGGATCCCCGGTACGGACAGACGCACTCCATTTACGAAGGTATTTCTCTCTGTCTTCAGGGTGGATGCTCCCCCAAGGGTCTGCGGCCAAATCATCAGAGGTTTGCCCGCGGTATGTCAAGAACCGACTATTCACCCAGACGATTTCACCCGTTTGTGGAAGGGCTACGAAGACATGAGCGGGCAAAGAGTCAAGGATAAGGCCTTTGAGCTTGTCCGATGGTGGTGTCATGTCTGTCGATGAGATCGATCCTTGCCTAGATGCCGTTGCGCCCTGGTTTATACCTTTGCCGACGGTGGAGCTCGGAGGAAGGGACTGGAAGGTGGTGGCAAAGTCGGCACCATATGAGTGCAACTGCGTGTGCCGATGCTGACCTGTAGGAGTACCGGCAGACTTTCTCCGTTGAGTCTCGGCTGACTGACTGCTTGCGATGCCGCCTCTTTCTTCCCGCTGCTCTTTGAGAACGGCAGTCTTCTGTTGTGAGTTTGTCGGCGAAGGTTCATCAATACTCCGGCGGTTGCTTTCTCCGCTGGCCTGAGACTCCTGCGACACGGGAGCGACACCAGCTGCATCCTGCCACTGGGACTTCCCTCCAGGTATCTTCAAGGAACCCTTCCTTTCAAGGGTTGTACTTTCTCGTGATCCTGTCTTGGTTCGTTGTCCCACACCAGTACCTCCCGGCTTTGGCGTGGTGGTGAAGTAACTGTCCCCAGCGGCGACAGGAGCTGGGCTGGCAGAGGATGACCTCTTGTCCATCAGATAACTCAGTGCCGAGGAATCCCAAGTAGGCGTCCCATTCGGAGAGTGGATGACACTGCGAGAGGGACCGGAGTACTCGCTAGGACTGGTTATGCTGCCAGCGTGCGACTGCTGAGAGATGCTGTCATCGGTTGGGAGGTATCCCATTGTGAAAGCGGTAGGACCAGCCAGCGGACGTCCGTCAGGACCCAACGCACCAAAGCCAACCGTCTGTGGCCTTCGTTTCTGGAGTCCGTTCAGCTCCGTTTCGAGGTTAGTATAGTGACGACACAGAGAAAAAGATGTGGCCAGATGTGGTGCCAAGTGCTCCAACGAGTGGCGTAGATTGGTGGGATACGGGATAATGGGGCTGAGTATAGAAAGAATCGCAATCGGGGCGTGCTTTTCCTTGGCGGCAGGTTCTTGGTAGGGGATAGGAATTGTCGGCGTGTGACTTGACTTGCCCCGTTGTGACATCTTTTGCTCCAAAAACGTCGAATCCAGCTTGAAGCCTGGCTGCTGAGGTTTCGACAGTAGGACATGGGTTAAAGGGATATGCAACACCGTCCACGAGTTATCAACCCCAATAGCCTCAGGTGGTTGCAGAGCTGAGTAGTCAGGAGGAGCCGAACCTGGATTAAACGACTCCTCATCGACCATGGCATCCGCAAAGAACGGATTTTCGCTAGGGTCAGCCCTCACAGCGGGGGACGGGGCCGGGGATTGAGACCACGGAGATGGTGGTGCCTGCTCGTACTCCTCATACTTGGGTGTCGGGGGTCTTGGGTATTCGTCATCCAAGCGAGAGGCAATTCCGGTAGCTTTCTTCTCCAAGCCGTGCCCGCCCGAGGTCCTGCCTGCGGCGGTTGACAAAGTCGCATTGCCCAGAAGCGCAGAGAGTTTAGTCGCTGACTCGGATCGCGTGCGAATTTTCTTGATTTTTTTCCGTGGCCCCTCTGGCGACTGGCTGCGCGTCGCAACTCTGGGATCGGCGGCTTTGCTGTCGGTTGACGATGTTTGTGTAAGATATGGGTATGACCTAGTAAGAGCAACAACGCGACCACGTTCCAAAACCCGCAATACCCCATTGTGATCGATCAATGGATCGGCCTCGTAATCCAATGCCTGGAGAACATTCAAGAGCTTCCCGTGCCCTTCTCTCTTGTTGGTTATTGGTGCTTCCCAGCTTGGAATGGGCTGCTGGCCCTCAAGGGCGTCATGCTCTGCCAAAGCTTCACGGTTCAAGCTCACAGCAACATCATCATCCTCACTCACATCTCGATCGCGTCCGACACCTGGGTGAGCAGTCTTGCTTCGCGATGCCATTGGTGGCCGAAGGGGTGTCACTGGCGTTCGTTCAACCGACTCCTTCTTGTCCTTGGTGTCTTCATAAGAAGAGAACGAGTGTCGGCTCGGCAGGCCGGGGCGCGCTAAGCCCTTGGGCTTAAGAGATTCGTCGTTGTTCTGATAGAGGTCGGTGATATCGTCGGTACTGCTGTGGACAAAGCTCGAGCCTCTAGCAAGATAGCCTAGGCTCAGGCCATCCTCCTGGTGGGGGTTGTACGTTGCCTTTTGGCCCCATGGCACGTTCTCAATATCCGTCGGATCGGCAGGCACAGCCAGGGTTACCCTTTCAGCCCTGTACACTTCAGTCATGATCTGAACAACTGTGTGCCACCATGCATCCAAGCCCGGCTCAGCCGAAAGCATGAGGGTCAGGTCGTATAGGTTGGGTGTCGCAAATTCACCTTGCACAGTACCGGAGCACCCTGGGGGTAGAAAGGTCATTGCTGAGGCAGGGGTAGAGGGGTTGGAGACAGAATGGTCAAGACCCTGAATGCCTGCAAACGAGACGTGGGCCCCCGTAGACGAATGCGTAGTCGGAAATGTAGTTGGTGAGAGCGTGGTAAACGGGCGGTGAAATGGCAGGCCACTGTGTGGAAAGCCGGGCGAGGATGCCATGCGCGGGAAGGGGTATGAAGGAGTTCTAGCCGTCAAGCCGGGGGTGACACCGCCGCGGATGGTATTTCCAGACTCGGTCGATGTCGTGGTTGGCTCGCTGCCGCTCTGGGGGAGCTGTGGCGAGGGACTGCTGGCCTCCTCCTGTATAGGAGATACGCGGACCGGGCCCGGGATGGCCAGCCGGTTCTCCGTTGCCGCAACAACCTCTCTTTTTTCCATCTCGCGGGCCAAGTGCAAACGGTATTGACTTAGCTGCCGTTGTGCCTCGGACGTATCCATCTTACCCCGCTGCGATTCCCCGACTGTCCTCTTTCCATTATCTACCTGCTGCAAGTCCCTCTCTTCAGATGTCGGTTCGCTGGAAGGGCTATCGTTGAAGCTAACCTCGGAAGAAAGCCTGGAGGGCTTGCGCACCGAGTCCCGAGACCGGATATCATCCACGACGGGTGCAAGAGCGTGCTGATTGGAAGCCCGTGAATGCGGCGTTGGAAGTTGAAGCGACCCTAGCCCTCCTCTCCCGTTGACGCCACCAGTCATTTGGTCCTGATGTTCAAGCTGTTCAGACGGCGCAGAAGCCTCTGGAGGATTCAGGGCATAATCATCGGTAGGACCGGTGTGGGTTCGCGCAATGGCGCACTGGTTGGAACAGTGACTGTCGGGAGACTCGATGACAGTCCTGGGAGGAGTCGTCGTGCGGGGGGGCGTGACTGGCTTCGCGGTCGTAATCGTAGGCGTCGTGGCCGCCGTAGTATCTGTGGTTGTGAGAGTGGGAGTAGGAGTGAGAGCGGGAGTCGTAGTGGTAGTGGATGTGAGCGTGGATTCGGTTGTTCTTGGTCTTTCGGTGGAGCGAGGGCGCAGAAGAGGCAAGGATATGCTCTTTCTTTTCTCCTTCTCCTTCTCTTTCTCTTTCTCTTTACTGTGGCTTCGGCGATGAAGGCTGAAAAATCGCATTCCTCATGTGCAGTATCTCTCCAAGGTCCAGCTTAAACAAGTGTCGAATATTAACTGTTTGAGTAGTGTCGTGGTGCTCGGCAACACGAATGGATGTTATGGCGCGTGCGCTCTGTTGTTGGGGTCAATAGGGGCCAGCTTTGTCAAAGGTTCGTCGAGGGTTCTGGTGTAGCGGGTTGCTTGGTGGCCGGCGTCTCGGACAGGCAGAAAGCACTCGGAGACTGTAGCAGGACAAGGCGCGGTGGGACAGGGTTTGTTTCGTTCGGACGGGGCCTGAATCAAGATCAGGCTGGGTATACTTAGTGTGAAGAGGGACTAGTGCGGACTTGGTTGTCTTTAGGTGAATAGTACAAGTTGGATGTTGTTGACCGTCTGTCTGCGGTGTGCTGCTGCTGCTGGCTGTGCGGGTGCGTGTTCGGTAGGAGGACGGTCTGTCTGCGTGGATCCTTGACGACGGAGGTTTGGAGGCGAGGTGTACGGTAGACGGGAGGAAAGAAGACTAGAGGTATGGATGTTCGGCGGAGGATGAATCGACGGGATGTGGGTGTGTTAGGCCGGTGCAGCAGCCGGAACGGCCAAGTTGGAACTTCGGGGTCTCGACAACTGGACGAGTGGGAAACAAAGCCCTGGAGACCTGACCTGCACTCTCGAGAAGCAGAGACTTGAACTTGGCTCCAGGCGGACGGACGGTGCACTCTGGAAAAGGACGGGCGTGTCAGGGCGTGTTAGAGCGGCGGTGGGCGGGCTTCCTGGTTCGTCAACGTGGGTGGTCCAGTTGGCAGGCTCAGTCTGGAGGCTCACTAACCTGGGACAAATCGGTCTGCCAGTCAGGTGCAGCCGCAGGTGTTCACCACGGTCGAGAGAGGAAGGCACAAAAGCCAGGCAGGCTGGAAACTTGACTCTGTGGTGCGAGCGATGCCACTGGCCCCCGACTAGGTATGGACCTGCCTCTACCTCTACTACAGCAAACTTGCCGAGACCTGCAACGGGAACCCGTGGATGGAACCTGCCCGGGATGGAGCGAAAGTTGGCAGGGCCCCAGTTCGCCAAAGGGGACTATGACGTGATGGCCCGGACCTGGGGCGGCGAAGAGAGGCTGCGAGCGCGCGGGCACGGAGCTACGGCAAGGGGTGTTATCCCCTTTGGGCTTAGGTCAGCACAGCAATGATTAACGTCCACTGAATTGTCATGGATCTGCCTGATCCAAGCGCCCCATCGATGTCGATACATAGGTCGCTAGGTATGTACTTGGGGTACTTTCTGTATTTCACGTCTTGGGTCTGATCAACCACACAGCAAGTTGTTCCACATTACATAATGTGCGAATAAAGACATAATGTACAGCAGTGTTTGACGAGGCGCAAAAGTCAAACTTGGACGCAATCACCAGTTGGCAAAGTTTTTTTTTGTCATGCACCTCCAGCGTAGTATACATGCACAAGGTTGAGCTAGAATGATCGGGATGAAGATCGAGGCGTTTTGTCCCAAGGAACACCATGGGTGGAAAGTGGGCAGCTCGGGGTGGATTCCGCCGCTGATGACTCCAGTCCTCCAGTAGGTAGTAGTATACACTACTACACTACACTACTGTGCCGTGTGTGCTTCCGCAATGGCAAAGAGTCATCTTCACGTCTTCCATTCATGTCACCGTGTCTTCCCGCGATGAACGTCGGGTCGCGGTGTGATGGACAAACACTGAAACACTACAATATGCCAAGATGCGATAGAAGAGCGAACAGCGGCATGCCGAGGACACCTTGCAACCAGGAGCGATCGCATTGTCTTGGCCGATAGCAGGAGTGTTGGTTGATTCCCGTCATTCCCGTTGTTGTCGTTGCGTTGTACACACGCAAATGCAAATCTAGCAAATCTTCGGCACAAACCTCAGCGTTTCTTCAACCGGCGGCCGATAATCTTGTACGGTCGGGAAAAAAAAAAAAATATATATATATATACACTAAAACGTTAGTAGCCTAACAAACTTATCTTTCCACTCAGTCCCTTCGAGGCTTGGGCAACCTCGATACTGTTACTGCACTATCAGCACTAACTTCTGACCGGAATTTCCCATATTGAAACCGGGCAACCAAGAAGGCACGGGTAATCGGATGACAAGTAATCACTAGTGTTGTTTAGCAGCAGAAAACCGTTTCCAATTCAGCTCAAGCCCCATCTTTTATTGACACCGCATGTCCATGCCGCCATGCAATTCCCTTTCGAGCCCATGGAGACACCAAAAGGAGATAACGGCACAAATGATCATTGCACACCATTGGCATGTTGTTCATAATCAAGTTAGCGCTTTATGGGCTCATTTGGCCTCATTGGGTTGTTCTGGGTGGTTTGGCAACACCATCGATTCTGTGGCTTCGATCGACTCTCAAGCCTTGGATTCGTCTTGGTGGAGGCACCCGAAAACCTGGCTCGGGGCTGCCGTCTCAAAGGGCTTCTTTGAACGTGGAAAGGCTTCGGTGGAGTCGTCGGTGTGCATGGGAACCGGACAAGTGCAACCTCTGTCTCCTATCAGGCAATTTATGCTGCCTTCTGGAAAATGGACAGATCGATGCAATCTCGAATCCAGAATCCGAAGCGACTTGTCCTTCACATGACGAAAAGGGGCGCGTCTTGCGTTCCTTGAATCGCTTCAGTTGATTGACATCTACGACAATCTCTTCTTCTTCCAGGTGCAGCGTCCATCATCTCCCAACCCATCTTTGTATTTTCCAGCGGTGAGAGAAAGTTTGAGCTTGGAAGGCACGGGTGGCCACCCATTCGACATGTTTGCGAGTTTGACGGAAACTTCCATTCCATTCACGTGAGCACGATGGACTGACTGGATGTGTGGCTTGGAGAGCCGGTACAGACGGAGCTTCTGCTACCTGTATGTAGGGTTGAACGGATGGAGGTTAGAAACATAGGGTAGAGGCAGCGCCGCTGGCGTATTTTCCGCTGACCGCATCGCTTGACTGTCCACCGTTTAGGGCCAAATGGCGTACATAGGTAATACTGCCGCTTTCCCTTACAGTGCCTGGAGGCGGATAAACCATTCCTTGGGCGCAGCGACCGAGGAGAACCACGAACAATGTGGCCCTTTTTGTGTGAAATTTCGACCGCGTACGATCGCGAGTTGGTTAATTCAATTGCGCCCATACAAGCGGCTGAGGTATTACGTCAGAGGCGTCACAGGTCAGTCTTGGCCGCTGACCAGTGAGCGGGGATCTTTTGAAACCTCGGCCGAAGGTGCCGTGACGTAACGTCAATTCAGTCGGTGTTTCTTATTGGCCACCTGTCAGCGCGTAGGTCGCAGGCGAGCCACGATCAACCGCAGAGCTGGAACGGGCCGGCACGGGGCCGGTACATCTACATGTACCTCACTACTAACGGCGAGGCGACTCCACGGCGCAACCTTTCATCGCATTTCACGATCCTACAATACCTACATACGAAGCTTAAGTTCTGTCGGGCACATCACGCCAAGTACGCGGTCCGCTTTAAGGTCGCATCTTACTGCATTCCTTCATCGAGCATAACTCGATGCAATAATTATCTTCGATCTTCTCTCCCCAATCTCCAGTGAGGAGTTGTGCACTGCACTGTGACAGTTGGTTCGCTCAAGGTAAGGAAGGGTGTTTACCTGTTTCACCACATCACGAAACATGCGACTCACGCCATACTGTATCTGTCTCGCTGGTGACCTTGCAGATTCATTGGACCGCGATACTGAAACGGATATATGGACACATCAAAGCCGTGGACCCCGTTCCGTCGTCTGGACTCTACAATTCGGGAGAGCCGGTGCCCGGAATCCGGACCGGAACGGACAGTTGGACTCCCTGGCTGGCCGTTTTCCGCGTGGGATTCCCATCTCGCCAAGCGATTTGACCGCGAAAGTATCACGCACCCCCGCAGTACCGACGACGACCGATTCAATGATTTATCTGAGCCTTGTATGCCTACATACTCTTTGAGGTTGTTGATTACTTCAACAGTCTGGTGAACCCCGGGCACAAGCATGTGAAAGTCGCAGGCCGAAGGCATAGCCCTACATCGCCCCAAGACAATCTAGTGGCCCTTCTGGGTGGCGGGCACATCGTGTAGTATATACTTGATACATATGCACGCCCTTTGAATGCCGTGACTCGAAACCAAGCTTCAAGTCAGAGTTGACCTTCGCTTTGAGGTTGTGGTGAAATTTCACTGTCGAATTTCGAGGCCCGTAGTTACACAAGACGAGATGTCGGTACCCAGCACCGATCTGATTCGATTTCACAGGCCCCACTCTTCCTGCGAGGCTCGCAGTACATACGAGTTCGCGCATTTGGGGAACAGCCTTGCAGTCCAGTAAACATTTCCGGCTTCCACCACACACCACGAATCTCTGTTCCGTTTGCGCATTCAACCTCGTCGCGTATCCCCTTTTCTCCATTCTTTCTTATTTCTCTCCGGCACTTTCTCAGCGCGACAACCAGTACCCGGCCTCCCGATCAACACCTACCAGGGAGTTGTCTACACGAACACGACTAAAGGCCTTGATTCTCGAACTTCCGAACCCTCCACTCGTTTCGAAGCGACCCTCGAACTTCTCCCACTAAGAGAGCCAGCTACTATCCGTCAAACTATCTCGACAAACATACGCAAACATGGCTGACTCGGACGGCGAGTACGCCTCCGACGATGAGCTCAAGAGGAATGGAAAGAGGACAGCGGATGGGCGCAGCAAGCAAACCAAGGCGTCCTGGGAAGATGTAAAGCGCTCCTGGGATACCGTCTTGGAAACAGCAGACAGCGGCCTCTCCATCGCAGAGATTCGGGAAGCCGAGAAGCGGCGTCGCCTTCTGCGCGACACGACACCTCTTCAGCGTGGAATTATCCGCCATCTGATGCTTGTGCTCGACATGAGTTTCGCCATGGCCGACAAAGATCTGCTACCAAACCGTTACCGAGTCGTCCTAAATAACGCCATTGGCTTCGTACGCGAGTATTTCGAGCAGAATCCCATCAGTCAGCTAGGCATCGTGGGAATGCGCGATGGCATTGCTGTGCGAATAAGCGACCTGAGCGGGAATCCGGCCGAGCACATCGAAAAGTTGATGCAATGGAGCGAGCAACAAGACCCCCAAGGAAACCCGAGTTTACAGAATGCACTTCAAATGTGCCGAGGTGCTCTATAGTCAGCGCTACGGCCCCACCCCCTCCGTGGCAGAGGTCATTCGCTAACCGCTTCATGTTCTGGTACAGCCAAACGCCGTCACATGCCACGCGCGAAGTACTGATAATCTACGGTGCCCTCGTCTCAATCGATCCGGGCGATATACACGACACCATCAACGACCTCGTAGCCGACCGCATCCGCGTCTCGGTCGTTGGCCTCGCCGGCCAAGTCGCCATCTGCAGCGAGCTTTGCAAGCGGACGAACAACCACGACGGCAACTACAGCGTCGCCGTAGACGAGGTGCACCTCAAGGAGCTCTTCTTCGCCGCCACCACTCCGCCCGTCACCCGCACGCCTGAGCAAAACACCGCCAGCCTGCTCATGATGGGCTTTCCCAGCCGCACGCTTGCTCCGAAAGACCATGTCAGCTTCTGCGCCTGCCACGCGAAGCCCACGCGCGAGGGGTACACCTGTCCGCGCTGCGGAATTAAAGTGTGCCGGCTGCCGATCGACTGTCCGATCTGCAAGCTGACGCTCATCCAGAGCACGCACTTGGCGAGGTCGTACCATCATCTGTTCCCGCTCAAGGTGTTTGTGGAGGTTCCGTGGTCTCAGGCGTATAGGTCGACGGCGTGCTACTCGTGCCTGACACCCTTTCCTGCTAGGCCAAGGGATTCAGTGGCGGCAGCGCCAGCAGTGTTAGGTGGGAGAGCCGGAGCTAAAGGTAGCGGGAAACAACAGGACGGCGAACAGAAAAATCCAAAACCGGAACTCAAGGGCGTCAGCGAAAGCGGGCGGTATGCTTGCCAGGTATGCGGAAATCATTTCTGCATAGACTGTGATGTCTTTGCCCACGAGACTATTCATAATTGTCCTGGGTGTCAGAGCGATACGAGGGATCTGGAGAAGGATACGGCAGTAGCAGTACCAGAGGGCGGCCCTACACCCATGGTGATGGATTCCTAGAGTGAGGAGCATGCTACAAATGGCGGCAGATGGAGGACAACAATCAGCCGCTCTGCTTGAACGTTTCAGATTCTTCGGGTGGAATCGAACCGGACACTCTGGTTAAGAGCATCGATAGTATGGTATCGTGAACGAAAACAATACGATGAGCCGAAACAGAGCAGTTTCAAGGGTATGGCGAACATATCTGTCACATGGAGTGGTTGGCGCTGCAAAGAACACGAAAATATACACGGCATTACGATCAAAGATACCCAGACGACTTGGCTAAGAAGAAAGTCCAAAGTGGAACTCCCAAAACCAAAGCTGTAGGGGACACCAGCCGAATAACTAGAGACGACAGGGCCATGGCTTCTTCATGCTCTTTACCAACAAGGCAGTGCAAAAGGATACTAGCGAAAGGGCTAAAGAAATGACAGGATACAACGGATGTGAAATGGTCCTATAAATTCAAGAAGACGATTGGTTGGGTGTGGCGCATCTGTGAAGGAGATCGGAGACGGATATGGTTTTAGAAGAATGATCAAGACGAATCTTTGCGTATCAGTAGAGTCCCTTGCAAGTGTCGAGGGGAAAGAGAGGACGGGCACGCAATGTATCATATATGTGGAGTGATACGGCAATGTTAGATTTTGAGACCATACCAGCATCATCATTGGCGTACTAAAAAAAAAGCTAATCTTCATATGTCCACACTGTTCCAGTGATGTTCCGACAAAGGCAAAATCCTGCCCTTGAACAAATCGGACAAATTATGTGCAAGGAGGTAAGACTGCGTGGTGAGAGACAAGTGAAGAGCAGAATGCGAAAGGAACTTGTTGGGCGATCATGACTGGCGATTTATGAACAGGTCAACAAAGTTTTCAATCCCCTCGTTTGTATTCGAAGCTGATACACCACCGTGAATTCGCTCATTACATTTTCACACCGTAAGATTTCAGAATGACCAAGTAAGCACGTGTCAAAATCATCGCATGATTTGCATAACTTAACTATGCCAAAGCTACTTCTATGCTCCACTTCTTGGTTTGAAGCCATATCGAAACCACAAACAAGTACGCCTGCAAGATGCCATGCTAAGACCCTTCCGGCCAGCTCCCCTGCCGGCCGACCCCCAAGCTTTTGTGCCAAAAAGATATCATACAAGAAAAGAAAATTTGAATCGTCAATCTCATCACCCGACCTTACGCTCCCAACCTTACAAGTTGCCGCGCTCAGCCTGCTCCCTCTCAATCGCCTCAAACAGACTTTTGAAGTTACCAGCGCCGAAGCCCTCAAAGTTGTTTCTCTGGATAATTTCTATGAAAACAGTCGGGCGGTCCATCAACGGCTTGGTAAACAGCTGCAGCAGGTAACCACCTTCGTCATAATCGATCAGAATGTTAAGCTTCTGGATGGTGTCCAGGTCCTCCTTGAGCTCCCACCCACGCTTCTCCGTCTTGAGGCGCTGGCGGATGGTGTCATAGTAGGTGGAGGGCACGTTGATGAACTCGACGCCGCGGGCGCGCATGGCGCTGACGGTGGAGATGATGTCGGGCGTCAGCAGGGCAATGTGCTGCACTCCGGCGCCCGAGTTGAAGACGACGTATTCCTCAATCTGGGACTTCTTTTTGCCGGGCGCGGGCTCGTTGATGGGCATCTTGACCAGATTGTTCTCGGACGCCATGACGATTGAGTTCAGAGCCGAGAACTCGGTGCAGATCTGCGAGTCGTCTACCGACCAGAAGCGGTGGAAAGAGAGACACTGCTCGTAGAAGGCGCAGGCGGAGACCATCTCGTTCCAGTCTTGGTTGCCGACGCAGTGGTCGATGCGGGCCAGGGGAACGCTGGGGAGCTGGACCGTGGCGGAGGAGGGGGCAGCGGTACGGAAGCCGGGCAGGAAGGGACCGTTGTAGTCCGCCCGGGAGATCAGGGTGTGCGTGGTGTCGCCGTAGGTACGGATGACGGCGGTGCGGACGCTGCCGTGCATCTTGTCGGTGAGCGTGGTGGGCTCCTGGACAACGTCGGCGCCAGCGGCAACGGCCTTGTGGAAGACGCCGTCCACATTGTCGACTTCGAAGGCTACGTCCTTGACGGCGTCGCCGTGCTTCTCCAGGTGTTCATGGCACTCCTGAAGGAGCTTGCGGTCCGCATCCGAGATGGGCTCCTCCTCGGGGAGACACTTCTGGGAGCGAATGGGGGAGGTGAAGACAAAGCGGACATCCGCGTTGCCAACGACGTATGAAGCAAAGTACCGGCTGCCGGTCTCAAGGCCGCGATATGCGAGAGTCTTGAAGCCGAAGACAGTGTTGTAGTAGGAGGCAGCCTGCTTGGCGTTGCCCACCCACCATGTTACGTGGTCATAGCCATTGAAGTTGGAAACCTCGGAGGACTGAAGAGCGTAATCCGGAGTCCCGTTGTAGTTGCTGTACTTAGAGGATATGGCTGATGGGGACATGCTCACGGGGTGATGTATAAGCTATGCTGAGTCGAAGAGATAGTGTACGATTGACTGGAGAGATGGGTGGCAAAGAATGATGAGTATAGCTTGATGACTATTGAACATCCATATGAAAGGGGAGAGAGGGAGACTTATAAGCCATGGCAGGTGGAGGGGAGTGACGAGTTGAGATGAAGAGTCGGCTCAACGAAGCAGGTGTATTCCCGCGTTCCGTTCCTGTCGACTTGGGACCTATCATAATTAGCAGAGATCAACGGACGTCACAACCCCCCTCTCGATCAGTTCCGGTAAGCAGACCCCTTTGCGGCCCTTGCACCCCCTTCAACTGGCCCTGTGAGGTTGGCAGGCCGGGGGTATGGTCCGCTTCAGTCGTATGTAGGCAGGTTGCTGCGGGTAACGGCGCACGGGGGAGGCAAACCGGCGAGTGTCCGCACATCGATCATAGTGTGCGGTAACAAGCGCCGAGCTGGTGCTGTATCAACCCATGACTACCCATGAACCATAGTCAATACCCTCCCTCTGAGTGGTTCCTCGGTCTTCATTGTCCAACTACGCTCTTGATGAAACCGGGTAACAGGAGGGCGGCCAAAAGAATTGACAGGTTCTGACGGATGACAGCGGAAACGGAAAGCGATTCTCGATGTTGGGGTGATAAGCCGAGCTGCCAATTTGGGGTGTAAGTGACCTAAGCGGCCATGTTCAACCGCAGCCGCCCGCGGGACCATTTGCAGAGGCGGAATCAGACCGATGGAACGTCGATCCCTGGAAAAGCCGCTCAGAGCCGACGGTTGCCGTGGGGCCGCGTTGCTGTGGTCTTACGTCTGCTTCTCCAACCCTCTTCAACCCCTTTGTCTGCCCAAACAATGCATCTGTTGCAGATACGCCGCGCCGAAGAACTTGTGGGAAGGTCCATCATGAAAATCCTAGACAAGATGCGATCCCCGTGACGCTCATTGTCCCGAGCCACAGTGCACAAAATCTTGTGCCTTCCGCACTCCATTGGCCGTAGAGAGGTTGGCCTTTCGGAAAGCCGATGCCTTGAATTGGGGGATTTGATGATTGGTCCTAAGATCCATCGTGACCCTTGCATTCCAAACATCGTATCTTCGTCATCTCGACATCCTTTTTCTTCCTTCTCAAACACAAAAAGTGTACAACCTCTTGCTTATCAGTCTTGAGTCTCGTCATTGACATTATTTCGAATGTTTTCTTGCCCAGCTACCACCAAAAGTTTCTGGACTTTAGCTGCCAACATTGACGTTTCGCTCTCTACACAAGCACGGCTCTAGACGTTGAACCATATAATACACCACGGCAAACCATCGCCATGGCTTACGTCTCATTGAGCACACGGGATCTCAACGTCCTCGAGAAAATCCAGGACCCAGAGTACGATCCCGCCCGGATAGTGCAAGTCGACATAAGCCTGCCAAAAGACCCCAACTTCAAGGACCAGGCCGTATATGACAAGGTCGCCCAACTAGAGCGCCAGATCATCCTCTCCATCCAGCAACTCGAGCTCGCAAATGCAAAGCCTGCAGCGCATGGAACGACCGACGTGAATAAGACCATTCAAGGCTATCGCGACTGTGTCACCCAGCTGGGAAGCCTCATCCAAGAATACCCAGAGTACGCCAGTGCCCGCAACAACAGGGCGCAGGCGATTAGACGGCTAGTTGGCGATTCGATGTTGATCTCGGGCTCCCAGCAGCTTCACCAAGCACTGATTCGGGATATCGATGACGCCGAGCGACTGCAGATGGCTGAGACTGCTCTATCTGACCTTGATCGCGCCATCTCGCTCCTGACCCCTGCCACGCCCCAGACCAGATTGTCCCAGAATGTGGTTAGGACGCTTTCCAGTGCACACACCCAGAGAGCCGCCATCTATCATATGACGTCCAAGTTGATGGAGTCCGACACCCTTGCTGTACCACAAGGTCGACGAGAAGGAAGCTGGAACAAGCTGGATTTCGAGGAGAATGCCTCGAGGGACTTTGCTATGGGTGGCAGATATGGCAACGAAATCGCGAAAGCACTCGCTGTGAGCACAAACCCAACAGCCAAGCTGTGTGGACAGATGGTCCGGGAGGCGTTAAAGAAGGAGTACGGGCCGGCCTATTCGGCATGAGGGTCAAGGAACTGGCGATGCTGGACAATTATAGAGAGTTGTTTCTGTAGGATAATGGTGATGAGAAATTTTACGAAAATGAAGGCGCGACCATGACCGCAACCGGCTGTTTCTCGGTAGCAAGTGACTGCATCATGTTGACATGATCAGATAGTAGTAGCTTACGAGCTCTTGGCAGTCGAGGTGAGACCAAGGCGCCTATATATAGGTTTAGCACGGGTCGTAAATCCCCGCAGGAGAAAGTGAAGCATACCGACGAGCAATCTGGAAGATATCCTGGGTGGCGCGGCCTTTCTCCTTCTCCTCGCGGTTGATTCTCAAAGCCGCAGCGGAAACGCCGATGAAGACGGCAAAGATGGGATCCGCAACCCGGGAGATGATGTAAACTGGGGCAGGCATTCTGTGTCGAGTACAGGAGATGTTTGGGTATGTTTGAGTGGTGAGAAGTCGACCGAGTGTAGCGGGTTGATGTTATTCAACGAACCAAGTTGTCGTGAACTTGGAGGGTAATTGGTGATAACGAAGCGAGCTGGCAATCACTTGAAGAAAACGCAACTTTTGGGCATTGAATTTGGTTCAGTTTGCATTCATTCACCTTGACATTTCACTCCAAAGTTCCCTTGGCTTCCCCAGCGGCAGGCCCCGTTCATGCCCCGCACGCAGTCCACACTTGCAAGTCTTGGCAAGGACAGCTCCCGAGTCTCGGGTTCTATGGACGACGCACAGACCAGGGCTTAGTCATCAGAGTGCGCTGCTGTGCCCGCTCGAATTTTGAAAGCCCACAAACTGGAAATTATTTCGGGAAAGACTTCAACACGGTCGTCAGCTACTTGTCTCTGAGCCTTACAACCGACTTCAGGCAAGGCCCCGCTGGATCACTGAGTACGTCCATACTGTCCCTCTGCGTTTTTTGGTTTTTTTTTTTCGACGCGACTCCGAGTTTCCCGTGTCGTTCACCCCCTCTAACCTCAATCCACCACAGAATCAGTCAAGATGAAGTTCTTGAAGACGTCGCGAGTCTGCCTCGTTACCCGGGGTCGTTATGCCGGCAAGAAGGTATGCTGCTACACCTGCCACACCTCTACTTTGCCCACCCGACCGGAAATCCTCGTTGTCTTGTCCCGTGTCGTCCGAGTTCCGTCACCAATCTCGAATTTTGACCAAATCGATCGGAGGAGAAACGAGTTGCTGCAGATTTGCGTTGGACCAATGGCGTTTGGGAAGGAAAGGGACAAACGACCGACGACCGATTCCGACTGCTGCGCGACAACGACGCGATGGGGGAAAAGACAAGCCGAGGATTGATGGAATAGGGGAACTCTCGCAACGAGATAATGCGAAAAGCCGAAAACACCATGATCGCTGACTGATTGTCCTTGGTTCAGGTCGTCATCATCCAGCCCGTTGACAACGGCTCCAAGACCCACCCCTACGGTCACGCCATCGTTGCCGGTATCGAGAGATACCCCAGCAAGATCACTCGCCGCATGAGCAAGACCCGCCAGGAGAAGCGCTCCAAGGTCAAGCCCTTCATCAAGGTCATCAACTACAACCACTTGATGCCCACCCGCTACACCCTCGAGCTTGAGGGTCTCAAGGGCTCCGTCTCCGCCGAGACTTTCAAGGAGGTTTCCCAGCGCGAGGATGCCAAGAAGACCGTCAAGAAGGTTCTCGAGGAGCGTTACACCTCCGGCAAGAACAGGTGGTTCTTCACCCCTCTCCGTACGTTTTCCCGTCCCCCCACCATACCTTCTCCCTTCTGTCTCGCAATCACTCAGGGACAAGGACGCGCAATACTGACATTGCATCTTTAGGTTTCTAAATTAGTCTTCCACTCTCGGTCTGGGCAGGGCGCATGGTTTTAGGGGGCTGTATACAGCATTCATCCAGGGAATAAAACTTGAGGCTTCCTGACTAGTCTGAAATTAACGGCAAATTGAAACAAGAGAGATGACGACCATATCAACCATTCCACTTTCAATTCATCCACGTGCGGGCATTCTTCAAGTCTCAGCCATCTCATCGAAGGACATGGATCTGCGGATTCCAACTCTTTGAAACGGAGGAGGGGGATTGCCCCTGGAGGGAAGCACTTCGAAAACAGAACAGCGATCGATACCCATAGACCGGCGACGGATAGTGTTCCTGGTCGCGAGCCCCATGAAAGGGACTAGATACATCAACTTGATGAATCATTGAAGCAAACGAATGACGGGATTTGGAGACAACAATGGCCAATGACTTGGGTCAGTATATGACCATGATGTGAGATGTGTTCACCTCGCCCACGTGCTTTCACTAAAATACACACCCCTTTTTCTCCCTCTGGCCGCCTCGTCGTTCAAATGCTACTTGGTTTGTTGCGTTTTATTGATACGCAATGCTGAAGCAAGCGGCCAAAGTGAAATTATACATCACAGTCCGGAGGACTACTTGAAACAACATCCTACAGAGAAAATATCGATATGTCAATGGAGCATACTCGTACCTAGACCTCAAGAGGTTCAGAAACACATATGTAGGCAGGTACAGGTGGACCATCCAAGCCGTTGCCTAAGCATCATCTTCCTGCCCTCCACCGTGACGTCTTTCATCTTCAGATACCTTTGCTCACACTTGCTAAGATGCTGAAGACCAAGACACGTCCTTATTCACCTCCCTCAATGCAGAAGCCGCACTCACACTTCCTCATTGTTTATGCCATGAGGAGGCAATATTGCAATAGATGAAGAGCATAAAACATTACACAAGTCTACCTAATCTATCTAAAGTCTCATCCCCCTTCACCTTTCTCTTTGAGTCCTTGGTTCTGCCATTTTGCCTCTCCTCGAGAACATTTCATCAACACAACTCACCACCTCTCCAATATATTTTTACCGTGTGTATGGGCCATACTCAAGCTAAGCTGAATGAGCATCTGGTTTTATATCCAGCATCCTGGCCACACCGTTAACTCCTAAGGATAAGATTCCCCGCTCCCAGCTCGTTAGGACAATAGCCAAAAAAAAGAAGAAAAAAAGAAAAAAAGTTAAGTTTTCAGGGGACGGAACATCTTTCCTGCCTGGTAACTCGAGCAAATTTCCAAAAGATACGCTAATTGACCACATCTGAGCAGTACCAGTTCGGAATGTATGGCAGACAACCGAGATATCTTGGTCCTTAGCAATCACGGCGCCGATTTCTCGAGCTCCATGAGCATTCACTTGCATACGCTTCACACCTACAAGTCCTCATTGATTCAGGTTCATTAACCATGTATTCCTGCCAACCATTTCTATCCTGTCTTATCATATCAACCATATGCCTGCCTGCAACCGGCGCCGCTACCCTCGTTCATTCCGTTTCCGTAGTCTCAGAATTTCCTGGTATATCTATCACCTGTCGCCCATTTGCCCCCTTTCTCTCTCTGCCTTTGACGTGACTCTCATTGTGACCCTTTCTCCTCTCCCAAAAGTTGATGTAAAAACATAGCTAAAGCAAAGCGAAAAGCGAAGTAACCAACTCTCATGACCTGGCTAGAGAAAATGACGTATAACCTAATTCGACGTGATCGGCGAAGAGAGGAGGTAAAAAAAACGCAACATGGAGAGGTCTTTTGTACCTGTGAGATTCAAAGAAGACAAATATTACCTGCCTCTTTCATGCTTCCCTACTGGCAAAGCGGCGAGAAACCCATGTATATCCTTGAGGGTGTGTCGTGCCGAATGCTTGAAAGTGTGAGAGACTTGCTGAAGAGGATTACAAGGTCGGTATTTTATAGTAGTAGACACCAAATGACAACATCCCCTTTTGCAGAATTTGGTTCTCTCGCGTCCAACTCATGCGCCGTTCCCGCACATTAACTCCTTGCTCCGAGCTTAGGCGGACATCCCGATCTTAGACTTGGCCTCGTTGAGGTACTCGGTGGGGTCAATTCCAGCAGCATAGTTGGGAGCGAAACCGCCGAGCAGAGAGAAGACAATGAAGACGGAGAGGAGGATGATTGAAATGCGACGGAGAACGGGGCGGCGGTTGCCAAAGTCAGCCCATTGGCGGCCAGCCTCGCCGGCGTAGCTCTTGATGGTCTCAGCGCCAAGCTTGTAGTAAACCATACCGCCGAGAGCAATGCTGTAGCCGAAGAACTGGGTCAGAGTAACTTGGCTGCCGTAGATGACCATAGAAGCAACGACGAGCAAGACGTCCTTGAGGACACCACAGAGGGTAAGGACGAGCGACGAAGTCTTGCCAATCTGAACAAACATCTTAGTAAGCCGCATTGAACAGTATCAGCCATATATCCAACTTACCAAGAACACAACGGAGACGTTGAGGCCGAAAGCGCAGAGGCCATTCAAAAAGAAGTAGAAGAGGCCAACACGGTCGACGTCAGCCATGGTAAGTCTGGGGACTTCCCAGAAAAGAGCAACGACGCCGTTCATGAGGGCGCAGATGGGAGCGAAGTAGTAGAGCGAAACCAAAGGATCCATCTTGAACTCGGCGGAGCTCAGGAGACGCTGAACCATAGTAAGACGAAGAGCCTCGAAGGCGACACCGGCGATCTGGAGGATGACGCCCAACCAGACGAACTCGAGCTCGCCGTACGAAGCAATAACGACACCGACAACGATGACAGAAACGTTGAGGAAAACCCTCATGTTGATCTGCGACACACCAAGGGCCCAGCCGGAGAGGAGAACAGCGACAGGAGTCGTGGCCTGTATTCCAAGCGTGAAGTGTTAGATCTTGTTGATCTACTAAGCGAAGCGCATCTTTTGGTACTGACCTTGAGCATCTGGATAAAGGAAACACTGAGGTAGAGGTAGGTGAGGTTGCCGCAAATCAAGCTCAAGCTGAAGAAGAAACCGATCGGGACAATGGCGCGCAGATAAACCTTGCCCGTCATCTTAACTGTCTTCCTGCCATCGAGCAGTGTGGTGTATCGAGCAAGGATCTGGGTCATGATGGTAGAGAAGGCCAAGTGGTAAGTGGTCAAAACGACCGGGAAGTCTGCGTTGTCGTCTCAGTATCCGTTGTCCTTCGACAGGTCCCTTTTCGGCTATCTGTATCGGGGCTTCCTTACCGAATCCTTTGGCGGATAGAATCCATTTATTGAACAAAATAACGGACGAGCTCATTGCGATCCAGATGCTGCAATCGCGATATCAGTCAACCGAACACACGGAAACTTAGTAGGCCTTCCCGCCATGGGCGGAGGAGTGTCGTAGCTCACCTCACATAGAACGCAGGGTGGATGGCACTCTTCGGAGGCTGGGCCTTCTGGGCCTCTGGGTTAACGGTGGGAAGGACGGCATCTCTAGGGGAGTCGCCCGACGCCCGGCTCTTCTCTTCAACGCCCATTTTGTGGTGGGTTGTAGATTTGTTGGGGGACTCCAAAGGGGTAGCGATGTGATTAAATGTAGTGCGAATCCGAAGTTACGTATCGGACTCGAGGTTCAAAACGGGAGTATTGCGAATGACGTCGCGAAAAGACTCTGGGCCTCGATGGGAAGGGCTGAATCAAGTCGAACAAACGAGCGGATGGTCGAGCTGGAACAGAAGCCGGGACCGAAAGGTGGTGGAGGAGGAGCTGCAACGGCCGGCAGTTCAGGTCATGCAACCTCGCCAAGTGGAAATGTACAAAGGGGATGCAGAAGGATAGATACACCGAGCCCCGCGTTTTGCAGTTCTGGAGAATGAATCCGCTCTCTGATCCGTGGGGGGAGGGGTTCGGTTTGCGGTCGACTTTGTGATTCCGAGGAGTCGGGGCGCAAACTTGGAGCTCTGGGGAGGCGAGATGATAATAGAAAGGCAGAGCCCGTGACGATGGTAGGGAGACGGAAGCAAAAAGAGAAGAAATGGGGACCGCCTCGAAGGCATGCCAAGGGGCGCCAAGGGGGTGCCAAGGGGTGTCACAGATCTCTTGAAAGCGATTGAGGCGTGCGAAACCTAATGGGGGAGCAGGAGTTCCAGACTGGGGAGAGATGCTACTCTTTTGGGTTTGGGCTTGCCGGCTAGGTGGGTAACTCTATTTTACTCGCTGCACAATGTGCTGACGCAGCCTTGCCCTGGAAGGAACATCGCAGAGGGCAGACCAAAAATCATATTGAAGCGGAAATTGGGACGCACCACAGAATGGATCGGATGTGCAAAAGACAGCCAGTGAATCCAGGGTAAATCGGTCCACGAGCGGGTATAAGATACACGGCCACGCTTGCACGATTTTTGCCTTGTATCATCACCGGCATCACCACCCTCAGTCGAGCAATTGATGTCCACCATCTGCATTGCCGTGGTTTCGCGCAACTCCACTCCATCTGGAATTGCCTTGGAAACAACGGTTGATCTCTTCTCAGATGGCCACTTCGCGTGTGGGTGCGCTCCTTAGGACCGAGCTCAAAGCCCGTGCAGAGCTGTACCTGACTGCAAGCCCACCAGTTGCACAAGGGAAGGCAGGGTAGATGTTACTACATACTGGATTGAGCGACCCAGTTGAGGCTTCCAGGGATACCATTGGTCGGGAATGTAATCGTCAAAGCAGCGACAAATAGGGGCAAGATAAGGGGCAACGTGCCTGGCGACGGAAAAGTAAACTTGTGGTCCGCACAAGCACGGAATACCCAAAAACGACAAGATGGACATCCTGGGAACTTGAAGCCACCCGCCAACTACCGTCTCCAACAAGTATCACGTCTGATTTCAGCTTGGTTAGACTTTTTGGCTTCTAGCGAGAATAGATTCGTGAACGACGAAGCTCTGGATCATGGAACAGGGGTCAACAAAGACGGTAGACTAAGTATATGCACTGCATATCGTCGCGGCTGTAACTTTCAAAAAGTCCACTGCGTCGACCTGAGAACCAACTTCACCATCTCCATTGTCTGGATCAGCGAAGCAATTACTCAGGAGGAACCTCATCACATTACAAGGTAACACAGGTTTGGGGCGAAGTAATGTGAAACGAAGCTGTTTGCGAAGCCTCCGAATGGGCAGATGATTGTCCCCCACGAAGAACCATACATTGTAGCCGTAGAATAGGTATTGCGATAAAGAAAAGAAGAAAAAAAGAAAATAAGGCGGAGCTTCATCTTTGAAGATCGTGTGCAAGTTACTGACTCGCCTTCCCCGCTTGCCGTGGGATTTGTCACCAACGCCCGTCCTTGACATTTCCAGAAAATACTTGGAAAAGCTTGATACTGTAGCTGGAAAGGCGAGTGCTGCGAAGACCGTTAAAGGAGTATTTCACTTATGTTGTCAGAGTTTATTTTTAGTCAGGTTGTTCGCCGGCTTCGCATTATCGTTTCGGGAAGTCAAGTGCTTCCCATCAAGCAGCAAGAGTTGGGTTGGCCTGGCGATCTTGAGGTGTCAGGAAGCCGGCATGTTGCGTGCGTAGAGAAATTGCTCAGCGTTGAGGGGGGCTAAAGTTCGTTCTTCCTGCGATGTGCAAGTCAAATTGAAGCAATGCGTTGATATGGGAGTTTGTCCATCCTGGATCTAGCCTCTCTAACTCCCGTCCGATCAACAGAGTGTGTGCATCCGTATCACCACAGGGACACATGCATTTCATGCTGATGCAGCTCGTCCTTGCAAGTGCGCAACAGTGCTGTCATTCAACATCTGTATGTAAGTATGTGCCCGATTGACGTTGTGTCTCTGTGACAGCCTGTGCTTTGATTGAGAGCCTCCAAGCCTTTTGCCCTACTCGCATCGAATTTGTTGACATGATGTACGGGCCTTTTGAATGATGGGAAGTGGTCTAGTTTCTTGAGCAGTAGGTATCATATCATGTGCCCGCGCAGAGGATTCGTTTCCGTACTAAAAGGCACAAACATCACACTTTCTTCCTATTTAAAGGGTTATATGAAAATGGTTTCATGCGTGACTTCAGCATCTTACTGGTAAAGCCTCCCGTGTCACACCGTGAGCCCATTCGGTGCAACCTGGCGAGGGCTGGCTATGATGCCCTTGGCCAGGGACATATCGATCTTGTAGGCAGATTGTTGTTTGTTCGCCAGACCACATAGCTTTCTCGTTCAACTATACTCTTTACAGCGGACCGGAAGGAGTTCGACACGGAGGCCTGTACTCCGTAACCCAGGTGAAAACCCGGCGCGTTCGCCCTCCTCCGAGTCTTGAATCGTATTGATGTCGAGTCCGCGATATCGAGTGGAAGTGCCTGAATCGCGGTATACACACATAGGTATACTAGAATCTGGCCCACCACTTCCTATCTTGTATCGCATAGAATACCATAGAGTTCTGTTATGCTTCACACTTCTCACCTCTCCAAGAGAAAACCGTACTTTTTTATGTCATGCTGGTCGTCCCCAAAGACTGCAGACGGAACGCCGTCGTCAGCAGAAGGGATAGACAAAGAGGTAAAAGCTTCATGTCAGGGATATATAAACACGGTGGCTGTTGTCTCGTAACGAGCTGGAACTGAATGTATGTACTCTTGCAGGCCATGCCATGTGAGATACCGCTCGCTCGCATTGTGCATCTCGAGTTTGATTTTCAGTGACACACTTTTCTCTCATTCCTTTCGTTGTTGATCTGCTGAAGATCGGCTTCTTCTCTTGCTTTCTTTGACTACATGGTTGCGGATGGCGAACGTCTCCAGTCATGCAAAGCTGTGGCGGGCCCTGCGCTTGTTTCATCAGTGCGATCAGCAACATACCATATCCCTCGCAATTGAAGGACTCCAGATGATCAGTGATAAGAGACTGGGACGCGGGACTGGTGGCAGTTCCGGCGTCCAGAGTTGACAGCCATCAGAACGGTTCAGGCGGTGAATCCGTGACCGCAACGTCGTCTCTTGGACGCTGTGAATGCATGATCCCAAACAAATCGATGCAAACTACACTATGGGAAGGCAGCTATGTAACGACAGCAGCCAGCCCACCTGCAGTGCAGGGAACTAGCATACCCTGACCGACTCGAGCTTCGACGACACTTACCCCGCCGACCACATGTGCATGCTTTGCCGGTCGAGCCCGTGTTGACAGAGGGCCATAAAGTAAGTAGTGTACGATACGCGAGGGATGAACAGTTTGTCCGTTCAAAGAGCGCCGATGTGGTAGTATGGGTTAATCTTGCGGCTGACTGGTAATCTCTATTTTGTCTGTGATTCCTCCCTGGAAGAGCAACATCCAATGTCAATCGGAGGGGGGGGTTGCTGTGATGCCCTCTGCACCGCGAAGCTGAGAACAGCAGCGAGACTGCGAGATGACATCGTAGCCTCACCCGCCCTCATCTAAGCTCCTGCATGCCGTTCCAGGGGTATCCCCGCCAGCGTCCGTTCTGGTCGTTTTACATAGTACACAAGTGCGGCCTCGATTTGGCAATGGCGCACTGCGGTGCCCAGTTGTGCCACACACCACCCAGAAACCGTCCAGAGTCCCGTGTTTTGCCATTGAGGTTCTTGAGAAGTTGTGGTCGCAGAGAGGACTGGCGAGACGGGAGTATCAGCCCAAGTCAGGGCCGGATTGTCAAAGTGTCAGGGTCAGACCAGGGGCGGTCAGGGTCCAAGGCGGGATGGAGAGGGTCCCCCCGCCCAATCCAGCCAATCATCGGCTCGCTCTCCAGCTATCTGGCGATGCCCCTGGCCACATAATTTGGGGCTGCCCCAACGTGCCCCTCCACGGCCCTCCATCAGCGCCATCAGCTCGTGGGTTCTCCTTTTCTGGCCCACGGCATGTAGGTAACGTTGGGTTATTACCACTCCGTCCGTATCCATACCTCTAGGCCTATCATCGACAGCTTGAACCGCGATCTGAACCTCTCCTCGATCCCTCATAAACTTGCCTCCGCGCCCCCTCGATCTGTTTCAACCCGCTTTCGTCTTTTTCTGGGGTACCTCCTTCCTTGCGCCAACCATCAACTCAACGGCTTCGGTTTCCTTCTTCCTCACGCCCGGCCTAGGCTTCGACTACCTTATACATATTAATCCTCAATCATACACAACGCAGATTTATTCCACAATGGCTGATATGTGAGTTTCCTACCTCGCTACCGACCTCTTTGGCCCGACACGTCGTGTGTCCCACCACTGCAGCTGCTTGCAGTCAGCTCGTCTCAGCGGGCTTCAAAGGTTATATAGTGGCTCTGTGCTAACCTCTTCGTCTTTGTCACAGTAATGTTGACGTTCTCGTTATCGGCGCTGGCCCAACTGGTTTGGGTGCTGCCAAGCGCCTCAACCACATTGTACGTGTCCCCCGCGGATACCCCTCCTCCTCATCCTCCTCCCTGCTTTCTGTACACCGCCGTGGAAAGTCATTAGGTGAATACCTTCAGCTAATCCTTGTGTTCAATCTCTAGAACGGCCCTTCGTGGTTGATCGTTGACGCCAACGACAAGGCCGGTGGTCTCGCCTCTACAGATGTTACCCCTGAGGGTTTCCTCTATGATGTTGGTGGCCACGTCATCTTCTCTCACTACAAGTACTTTGACGACTGCCTTGACGAGGCTCTTCCCAAGGCGGATGACTGGTACACACATCAGCGCATTTCCTATGTGCGCTACAAGGGCCTCTGGGTCCCCTACCCTTTCCAGAACAACATCTCCATGTTGCCCGACGAGGACAAGGTCAAGTGCGTCGAGGGCATGATCGATGCCGCTCTTGAGCACCGTGTTGCCAACACCAAGCCCAAGGACTTCGATGAGTGGATCCTGCGCAACTGTGGCGAGGGTGTTGCCAACATCTTCATGAGGCCCTACAACTACAAAGTCTGGGCCGTGCCCACCACCAGGGTAAGAAGCTTGTCCTGTCGTCCGACATGGAACCAGTGCTAACTGTCGCCCCAGATGCAATGCGAGTGGCTCGGCGAGCGTGTCGCCGCCCCCAACGTCAAGCTTGTCACCAGGAATGTCATCCTTAACAAGACTGCCGGAAACTGGGGCCCCAACGCTACCTTCCGCTTCCCTGCCCGCGACGGAACCGGTGGTATCTGGATCGCCGTCTCCAACACTCTACCCGAGAAGAACAAGCGCTACGGCAAGCACGGAGAGGTCACCAAGGTCGATGCCGAGAAGAAGATTGTCACGCTCGGTGACGGCACCACCGTCAAGTATGGCAAGCTCATCAACACCATGGCTGTGGACCACCTTGTTGAGAAGATGGGCAACCAGGAGCTTGTATCGCTCTCCAAGGGTCTTTACTACTCCTCCACCCATGTCATCGGTGTCGGCATCCGTGGCGAGCGTCCTGAGCGCATCGGCGACAAGTGCTGGCTCTACTTCCCCGAGGACAACTGCCCCTTCTACCGCGCCACCATCTTCTCCAACTACTCCCCTTACAACCAGCCCGAGGCCGGTGCCAAGCTGCCCACCCTCTACAAGGCTGACGGCTCCAAGGCCAGCTCTGATGAGGCTAAGGAGGGTCCTTACTGGTCCATCATGCTCGAGGTTTCGCAGTCTACCGTAAAGCCCGTCGATGAGGAGAATCTGCTCAAGGACTGCATCCAGGGTCTCATCAACACCGAGATGATCAAGCCCGAGGATGAGATCGTCTCCACCTACCACCGCAAGTTCGACCACGGCTACCCCACCCCCTCGCTCGAAAGAGAGGGTGTCCTCAAGGAGCTTCTCCCCAAGCTTCAGGATATGGACATCTGGTCCCGTGGTCGTTTCGGCAGCTGGAGGTACGAGGTTGGTAACCAGGACCACTCGTTTATGTTGGGTGTCGAGGCTGTGGACAACATTGTCACCGGTGCTGTCGAGCTGACCCTCAACTACCCCGACTTCGTCAACGGACGTCAGAACACTGAGCGCAGGCTCGCCCAGTCATTTGTCTTTGGCGTCAAGGAGGATCAGTCGATCCCCGCGAGGTCGGCGCTTCCTAACTAAGAAAAGGAAAGATGGAGGAATCGAAAACTATATCTCACTTGGATGTGGACAATTGCGAGATGAAGTAAGGATATACGCAGAGCATGAGAGGGAGGAAAATCTTGCACTTGCATAACCATGATAAATTAGCACACGTTACTTGCTTTTCTTCATTTATGGAGCACATGAGCTTTGTTAAAACTTAATGATAAGAGCACCCAGCCACCGGGCTGTCCCGCATTCGTGGTCCTTACCTCTCCTGTGTCTATTCAGACTATTTTTTGACCATTGATGCCTTGAATTGCCGGATCAGGGCCTAATGATGGGCACCCGATTGTCTTTTAGTGCGGAGTCGATCTCCCGCTGATGTCCTGTTTCCTCGTTTGGGCTCGAGCTAAGGTTCGGCTTCCCGCCATTTCGGGAACAACATGAGGCCATTTCGGGATAACCATAAGCTGTTGTTATGAGTTGTCCTTTCGGATCTGGATAGGTGCCCGGACTTTGGACCCCTCGCGGCATTACCCCAAGCAGATCGGCCCATTCGCGGCCCGCCGTTGCTGCTCAATTACTTTTAATGTGTTTCGGAAATTGGACACGTCAAGTCCCTCTCCTATTTGTACGAGTTTCGGAGATAACTAGAGAGGGGATAAAATCAACCGGTGTGGGTGTTTCGGAGACAAGGCTGACTTTCACTTGTACTGTCTTGTTGACTGACCGCCGGCTGGTTAATCGGAAGGGCCACTTGGTTACTTACTCAGCTTGATGACCCATTGTCCAGTTTTAGCAAGGTGATGAGGCTATCAACAAGTGATGTAACAACATCAAACATCGACTACTGTGACAGTCCGCCTCTTCTTTCATTTGTTCGTTTCCTCCCCCCACAAGCCCCAGCCTTTTCTTTAACCAGATAAGACGATACGGGCAGACCATTGTCCCAAGATCATCTGAACATCCATAGCCTGACCCTGCGTGTTACATATCATATATATCATCCATGCTTCAGCCACACATCATACACAGATTGACCACCCCGGATCTACATACATGTACTCTAGCCACTTAACATGGTACGAGGACTCAGCAGGAGACGTACGCTGTGGCAAATTTTCCAATGCCCGATGGTCTGTCTGTTCCCAATTTTGGAAGTCTCTCCCCTGACTAGGAACTCCACGAAGATAGATGATCGGCAGGAACTTTGTCAGATAGACGACACTGCCAAGCTCTGATTGCTAGTGTAGTGTACTTGGACTACTCAACGCGGGCTACTATACCAGTGTATATACGAAAAGACTTTCAAGATCGGTGGGATGCTGGTAAACAAGGCCTATTACCGTGTTAGAGCCGCAATTAGTTCACAAAAAAAAAAAAACGCCGTTCATCTAGTCTACTATTATACCTTGGCTTGCCAAAGGCTGGACTGAACAGTCCCCGTAGTCATCACCGCCCGGGTTTACTTTGGAAGGAGAAAGTCCTCGTGCCCTTCTGTTGGTAATCTTGATCTAGACGACTCAAAGAGGGAGGGAAGTTCAAAAGGAATACTCATTGCGTAGATCAAGCACGTGCATATCTCTCGGGACCTCTCGAGACCTGACAATGCAGTCCCACGACGCGCGGAAAGAGGGGGGGGGGAGGGGAGGGGAACACAACATAGGTTGCATAAGTTCCCTGCGGCAGAGCATCTTTTTTCTTGTTTCTTTTTTTTTTTCTTTTCTGTGTGAATCATCGAGTTGATTGACATACATTCACCGTTCTTTCCGAAATCCTACATTCAAGCTATAGGTAAGCTAGAGAGTGTCGATATAGACCACCGGTAGCTGGTCCATAGTCTGACTTTTCCTCTTTTTTAAATTTTCCCGTCGTGTTACTGACTACCGAATTCCGAGTGACGTCAACGGCGCTTGGCTTTTCCGAGTTCGGATGAATGATATCTATCTATGTTGTGTAACATAAGATGATGTATAGCTGCTTATGCGGGAAATGAGTTGATACAGGGAACGAACGACATCTATTGATGTTTGGAGAGCTCTAACGACAAGGTGTTGAATATATAGCCTAGATAGTGTTCAATTAAGCAAGAGGACATACACTCTAGGTATTCCCTGATTGTTGTGTATGCTAAACAGACACTAGTCTCATGTATGTATGTGCGGGTAGGGTATGGACTGATAGATTATCAGAGTAGGATTAGGCTGGGCTGGTCGCATGAGTGAAATATAGCATGAAGAATTGGATGGGCTTGGGAACTTGGTTTGTCATAGTATGCCAATGTGGCGATGAGGCTGTGGTAAGGTACACTGTAAGTGTGGTGCAGAAAATACACTAGGCGCCGTAAGAAGCTGGTCTGGTGGGACAAAGGAGATTTGAAACAAGCACATGAGGTATCGTCGCAAAGCGCCCGAGCATATCGAACGTTGTGAATGAAGCGATTCAGATTTTGATGAGGTTCGGTTGCCGCCGTATCTGATCTGCATCACACACACGCTACGTCGGGAGTCGTCGATACAGCGGAACCCGCAGACGGCGTCGAGGGTTGGGGGGGCTCGGGGAGGGGCGTGCAAATTCCGATGGACCAGCGTGGCATGGGGGCGGTGATGACCAATGAGATGGATGGGTGGACGGCAATGAGATGGGAGCGCTTCCTTCGATCGATGGAACAAAAGGAAGAAAACTGCTCGTGCACTACACTACGAGTGAAGCGGCCGGCAACTTTTTGGGAGACCTAGGTACACTACACTACACTACGAGCTTTCTCATCGAGACAAGCTGCCAAGACGATGCCGAAACAAGCGAGCAAGGTGGACACCACCGATTGTGAATTGGGGACGATTGGGAGCTTTGGAGACGGCCTCGGGCCTGAACGGGTCACGGGCACAACTTGGAACTTGGGCCCAAAAATTTGAGGTGAAATATCAATGGCAATCAAGGATGTTCCAACTCCTCTTTTACAGGCCCTCTGCAAGCCTGTGTGCCTTTTCGGTGCCCCCCCCCCCCCCCCCCCCCCCCCTTTTTTTTTTTTTTTTTTTCGTCTCTTTCTTCTCCAACCTGCATCGGGCGTTGATGAACGGGCGGCTCCTCCTCCGTCAACCTCTCCGACTAGGTAGGTGTTCATGTGCATCCGAACCTCTGGGACTGCTAGTAGCCTCACCGTCTTTGCTCTTTTTGCCAAGCCGTGAATGTGCCGTGTGTGTGGGACAGCGAGTCTGATGAGCGAGCGAGAGAAGACCCAACAACGAGGAGAAAACCAGATGACGGGATCCCGGAACTCCGAGATCTAACACATACAGCTTAGACAGGAGGTACGCCGGTGCGCTATGAATAGGTAGGTAGAGGTCGGTACCTCTAGGCAGGGCAGTACACATAGAGGGAGCTGCCTGGGTTCAGTTTGGTAACGGGAGGAGGGGGGTTAGGTTGCCTTGCTACTCTAGAGCTTCCGGGCGGGTTCAGTTGGGTTGACAATCGCGGATATCGCCCTTGGTACCTTCGCCGGTCGTAGGGATCTTCGGGGGAGAAGCACCACCTGACTGTCTTCGTTCTCTGTTTCTGTCCAAGCTGGGTGTTCCTTCTTTTCTTTTTGACACTGCAATCCCGCTGTGACCTGAAATCCAGTTGCCTCTTTTTGATGAAGGGACAGCTCGCTGCCAGAGGTAGGTACCTAGGTACAGTAGGACCCAGTGGCAGTTTCTTGTGCAACCGTGCAGTGCGGTGCGGTGCACCAAAACGAGGCTAAGCCGTATATGGGAGCTTGCCGCTCCTGGTCGATACCGACTTTGACTTCTTGGCCCCATCGTCGGGTGCTCCTACACTACCGGCGGAAGTACCTCTTACCACCACGACGCATCACAGGTCCACTGCAGTGCACCACGAGCAGTCCTTCGAGTCCACACACCATTCGCATCCTGATCCATTCAGCATTCCGCTCCAACAGCAGCATCGGCCACGGCCCCAGCACCGCTTTGCACTTTTGCAGCTTGCTTCAAGTTCTCCTCCACTCCAGCCTCGGACATCCACCCACCGACCAGCGATATTCCCATAATTCACCATTGTGCTGCGCATTCTACGCATCCACCACGACAAAGAAGAAGCACGCAGAATCACCCTCAGAGGCCATCTTCCATTTTCCCAAGTAGTAGTAGGAGTAGGTACTGCCTTTTCATCACCAACCGACAAGTCCCAGTCCCAGTCCACCACGAGTCCACCCAACCACTCCTCGCCTAGGCTGCTGCTTTCTGGCTGCTTTGAAACCTCTCTAACGACCTCCTCCAACCAAAGAATCTGCCAACACCGACCGCGACCGACTTCCGTCCGCCTATCCACCCCCAGTCGTTGTTGCTGTCGTCCTTTTTGGCTTTCAGCTCGTGGCGACTGATTTGCCCAGCACCGGCGACCGACAGACTCTCTATACCTAGGTGACCAGTACCTACGACCTTTTTTTTTTTTTTTTTTTTTTTTTTTTTTTTTTTTTTTTTCCTCCCCGGGGACGGAAAAATCGACGACAGGCAGAACACTGCAACCACTAGCCACGACCATACCTGGGCCAACCGCCAACCTCAAAATCTAGAACCGCTCCAGCGAACCCAAACACTCAGCGCCGAGCAATACTTAGCCCAACTCCACCTCATCACGATCGCTACCAGGCATTATCACCACACTGAACGGCAACAGTCTTTGCACACTCGGCACCACACACATCAGAAGGTGCATACATCGACGATCACAATCCTCGCATGCTGGCACCGGGTGCTTGGAACGACGGCCTGCGTACCATGATCGAAACATGACTCGCCCCGACACGACGTCCTCCCCACGAGCCCGTTATCCTTGAGTCCGCCGATTTTCCTTCTCTCGGCGACCATGGAGTCAGTCGCGATACCTCCACAAGACGACCAGCAGCAGCTCGATCCCCCGGCCCGCATCTTCGAACGACTTCGCCAAATCGCCGGCTTTGCATGGGACGAGACTAAACCGCCTTACCATTCTACCTACGACAACTGGCACGTCTTCGGCACTCGATTTGTTTCGCCCTTTTCCACCACCGGGACCCCGGCCCCCGCCTCCCCGGCTCCATATCCTAACACGAGTCCGTCGTCTTTAGCAAAGCTAGCACCCGGCCACCGCGCAGCCCCCCAGGACCGCCCCAACGTTTCGGCCTCTCACAGCGACGCCGGCAGTGATCGTTCCACCACCTCTCTTCCCACCGTTGCCCACCATGCTACCGATGCGCCTGTTGTTGAGGAGCTTGTCGTTGCCAGAATATCCTACCATGTCCTCCGCGAAGAGAGGGCCTACCATATCACCAAAAGTCTTGTTTCGACTGTTGATCCCAATGCCGAGCACATCTCGAGACCGATAGACCTCATTCGTCTGAACCCCTTGCCAGGCGATCGGGGGACCATCGTTGTGGCCATCTACGCGTATTCTGGGGAAAATTATTTGTTCAAGGTGTTGGATATGGGCCCCGCCTTCTTCTACGCCAAAAAACACAATGACCGATGGGAGGCGCACCGCGAAGAACATCCGGTCCTCGAGGAGCCCATATCACTTCAGCACTTTCTGGATTTTGCCATAGGCGCTGCCCAATGTCTGGAGATGCTTCACCATAGCCAAAGCATTGTTCACGGCGAAATACGTCCCGACGCCTTCCATTACAACCTCGAACTAAACAGAATAAAGATAACGTCACTCGGCTCTGGTCTACGGTCCTTTGAGCACGGTTTAACAAGCACAGGCTGGTCTACACTATCGAAGGAGGTGGGCGCCCGCCATAAATTACAGTACATCAGCCCTGAACAGACCGGACGGATGCCTGCCGAGCCCGACACTCGCACCGATATCTATTCCCTGGGGGTTTTGTTTTGGAGTCTCTTGACACAGCAGCCCGTGTTCCAGGGCGACACACCGCTTGATATCGTCCAAGGTGTCCTTGGGCGTAGGATACCTAACGTGTCCCAGATACGAATGGATGTTCCCGACGCGATTGGCCGCATCATTCAAAAGTGCATTTCCAAGAATGTAAGCGATCGGTACTTTTCGGCCAGTGGCCTCCGGCACGATTTGGTCAAGGTGCAAGAGTTGCTTGGCTCCGGCGATTCCCAGAGTCTCAGGGACTTTCAAGTTGGTTCCCGAGACGTATCTTCCTCCTTTCGGCTTCCGACCATTATGATTGGCCGCGACCGCGAGCGATCCGAGCTTCTTAAAGTCATTGACCGAGTATCCAAGAGCCATGGGATGAACCACAAAGGTGGGGTAAATTGGGGTTCAGACGGGTCTGTCTTGTCAAACGATGTTGTTGACAATGCTGAAGTCTCCAGTGAAGGGGCTAGCTCAGCCGACGGCTTGAACAGGCAGTCCGGCTCATGGGCCCTTGCTTTAGCCCCGGATCCGAGAAACAGAGTTAGCTTGCCCCCTTCGGCCCTGGGAACGAGTTCGGTGACCACCTCGGGCGAAACGACGTCTTCAGGCACGTCAACGGGTACCTCGACGATCTCGGGAGGAAATCGACAGTCTCGCCAGTGGGACAAGCCAGCTTTTGAAACGTCCAGCTTGAACGAGAATGTCAGCTCCGATGCCTCGCGGGGCAGTGGATTGCTTAGCGAACCTACCTCGACGATATCACGCCAGCTCGGTTCCAAGTTCCGAAAGCAGAGACAAGGCAATTGCGAGGTGGTGATTATCGAGGGTACCGGCGGTCTAGGAAAGAGCTATCTGGTCCAGTCAATACTGGCAGATGCGCGCAGGAGAGGTTATTGTGCTACTGCCAAATTTGAAACAGCGAGGAGAACTGCCTTTGGCCCCCTTTTGCAGCTGCTATCCTCTCTCTTCCGTCAGGTCTGGGGCGAGAGAAACACCGAGACCCCTTTTCATCAAGCGCTCAAACACCATGTCCGGCCTGTGTGGCCTACGTTGCATAAGGTCCTTGGCCTCCCCGAATTCCTGCTAGGCCCGCCCGACAACACCCCTCAACGATCTAACTCCACTAGCTCACAGAGCGGCCAGCCCGCGTTGAAACGACGTGGGTCGTCTCCCGAGCTTGGCGGCAACAACATGTACCGACATTCTTCGAAAGTATCGTCCGCGACCCAGACTTCACAGGAGTTTCTAAGGGCTGGGGCTTCGACGCAGACTTCCCGCCTTACGAACACCTTCCTCGATGTACTGCGGATGTTCACACACTACAAATTCATCTGCTTCTGTCTCGATGATCTGCACTTTGCGGACGACGAGTCACAGGAGCTCATCAGCCAGATCATTGGAGCGCGAATGAAAATGGTCATCATCATCACGTACCGCCCGGAAGAGATCGGGCCCGAGAAAGTCCTGCAAATCCTCAGTCCACCAAAGTCCGAAGAGCTACCACGGGGGGCAGGCGCACCAATAATGACCAAAATAAAGCTAACGCCTTTGTCCGAGGACGACATAATACACTTCGTATCGTCGACACTCTGTCTACCGAAGGAAGATGTCACGCCTTTGGCTCTCGTCATCCAATCCAAGACAGCTGGAAACCCCTTTTATATGCGCGAGATGCTCAATGCTGGCTATAGGAAGAAGTGCATCTGGTATGACTACATGGCTGGTGAATGGAAGTACGACCTGGACAAGCTCTTCGACCAGTTTCAAGGGGAACAGAACTACGATGTTCTCGACACCGCATTTATCACCCGACGCTTAAGTGAGCTGCCGCCCGCCTCACGGTCAATCCTTGCTTGGGCTGCGCTACTCGGGCAGACTTTTTCGTTTGACCTTATCTGTCGACTCATGACTGGCGAGTTTCATTTTGAAGAAGACAAGGACAAGCGACAGCAAGAAGAAGATTGCTCATATATCATACCCGCAGATGAGTCCGTTGCTGGACTTGAAGCAGCCATACAAGCCTGCATCATTGTTCCAAGCGATAGGGATGATCATTTTCGTTTTGTCCACGATCGTTACATTCAGGCGGCTGCGGCATTACAAGAGTGCAATGCTCGAAAAATGCACTTTGCCATCGCCCAAACACTCCTCAAATACCACGCCAATGATCGTACTTATAGGGACAATGCGGCCTCCCACATTTGCGAGTGCGTCGATATCATCTGCCAGCAAGTGTCTCGTCGGCGTTCGTATCGAGCATTGCTCTCCCGGTGTGCACAAGAAGCATCCGTGAGTGGCGCAAGACCTACTGCAGCAAAATTCTACGGCAACGCTGTAGCGCTACTTCAACCTGACCCTTGGAACGACGATGCGGGCGATTCCTCTTATGAAGAGACTCTCCAACTCTATATCCAGGCAGCCGAATGCTACCTTTACATGGGTCTCCACGCCGCCGCCAACGATCTACTCCAGACAATTCTCGCCAAGGCAAGGACGGCAGTTGACAGGGCCCCGGCCTGGGTACTGCAGTCACGAATTTTTGCTCAGCGCGGAAACTCCGAACAGGCATTGGACTCACTCCGGTTGTGTTTGAAAGCTTTGGGTGTAGGCTTCGATGACAACCCATCCTTTGAGAAGTGCGACGCCCAATTCGAGCGCCTGTCCGTACGAATACAGACAATGGATCGCAGCGAGCTGGTCAACCCGCCCAAGACGGAAGATATCACTCTTGCATCCCTTGGTGCCGTGCTCACCGAGACCGTTAGTGCTGGATGGTGGAGCAACTGTCTGTACTTTTACCAACTTGCGCTCTCTATGATGGAGTTACACTTGGAGAAAGGTTCATTCCCACAGTCTGGCATGGCATTTTTGTTCTTGGGCACCATCGCCCTCTCGAGGTTCAACATGGTTCAATTCACTGTCGACTTGGCCGGCATTTTCTTGGAGTTGCTGGAGAAGTACCGCGATCCATATTCGATGGCTAGGGGCTACATGATCTATGCCAACTTTGTCGGTCATGTACAGTTTCCGCTCGGCGCTATTGCCAACCAGCTTGAGGCATCGGTCGAGTTCGCCGCTGCTATGGGAGACCGCATCTCTGCCATTCTTAGCTTTGGTCTAGCTGCACAGCTGAAATTTTTTGCCAGCGAAAATATCTCCGATCTCGAGGCCTTCTGCCAGTATGGCTGTGAGGAGGTACCGAACTGGCATCTGGACACTCGTGGCGGCGTAATTCTTATCGCCATTCGACAGGTGTGCCGTGCGTTGCAAGGGAAAACGCAAGTGACAGATCCTTATGGGGTCATGAGTGACGAACAACACAAAGCCTCAACTTACAAGTCTTGGCTCACAGCCAAGGCCAGTGGAGACAGGACGCTTATGTTCTACGAGTCAATCGAGATTATCCCGCTCTTCCTGTATGGGCACTATGAGCGGGCCATTGAGATCGGGGAGGTTTGTTGCAAGAACAGCAAGATGATTTGGTCGGCCAGAAACACAAAGCTCGCACAGTGGTTTTACGCTTTGTCCTTGGCGGCTGTGATCCTCCGCGAACAGCAAGACCCTCGACGCATGGCAGAAGATGAGGAGAAGTTTCAGAGCCGCGTGGAGGAGACGATTGAGAAGATTGATGAACTGAACAAGGGGCTGAAGGACTGGCAGGCAGTTAATAATGTTAACTACCTGGCTTGGTCAAAGTTACTGGATGCCCAAATAGCAGAGATCCGTGGTCAATATGGGGATGCCATTCAGCAATATGAAGAGGCGTTGGATCATGCTGCAGAATACAATTTCCTCTTCGAGGAGGCCTTGGGAAACTACCTGATGGCTAGCGTCTTCATTCGTCACAAGGGCAGGCGCTCTGCCCGGTCTACCCTTCGCGACTCTATCGCTCTCTACCGCCAGCTTGGTGCCACAGGAATCGCCGACCTCATCGAGACCGGTCATAGTATCTTGCTCCATGGCCCTATGCGCAACCCTCGCACGGCTGATGCTGGCGTTCAGACCGATTTTACTGGCGACGCTGCGTCTGTTCAATATCGGACCGTGGAAGAAGAAGGATTGGAGGACGGAGAGGAGACGGCGCAGGCTGCGGTGGCAGCGCTGAAAGGGGAACGCATGACCGCGTGGAGGGGCTCAATGCAGCCGGAGGCTGGGGTTGGCTTGCCAGCACTTGATATGATCGATCTGCACGCGATTTTGGTCTCATCTCAGGTCATCTCCTCGGTGTTGAGGGTTGATGAGCTTCTCAAGACCATGTGCGACGTGATCTTGCAGACGTGCAGCGGGTCCGCTACCCTGGCAGCTCTCGTGGTGTATGAGGATGAGAAGCAGAAGGACAATTCGCCTCTGTGTGTTGCTGCGAGTGGTGACCCCGATAAAGGAGCTGAGGCGCACATTCCCGGCATTCCCCTCAGCGGAACCGACCTCGTCGCCGAGAATGTCATCCTGTACTGCTCCCGCTTCCGTGAGGTGGTTTTCCTTCGGGACCTTGTGAGCGATGAGCGGTTCGGCAACGTTAGTGAAAGTTGGCTTCGGAGGAACCCCAACAGCAAAGCGGTCATTGCCATCCCGATCTTGCATGGTTCTGAAAACCCACTCCTTGGCGTCTTGTACCTCGAAGGTGTTCCCGGTTCATTCACAGACCGAAACGTCACTGTTCTGCAGCTTCTCGTCAACCAGATCGGAATCAGTTACTCGAACGCTCTGGCCATGAAAGCTGTTGAAAAGGTCTCGGCCGAGAACGTCTCCATGGTGGCGCTCCAGAAGCGTGCTTTGGCTAAAGCGGTTGAAGCAGAAACCAAAGCCAGAAATGCCGAAGCTGAAGCCATCCGGAACGTGAAGCTTGCGGAAGAAGCCGCGAAAGCGAAGTCAATCTTCCTCGCTAATGTCTCTCACGAGCTGCGCACGCCCCTCAATGGAGTGATTGGAAACTCGGAGCTGCTCAGGGATAGCAACTTGAATAAGGAGCAACTGGAAATGGCTGACTCAATACGTGTGTCGGCAGATCTGCTACTTACAGTCATCAACGACATCCTGGACTTTTCAAGGATGGAGGCAGACAAGATGAAGCTCTACATCATCGCATTCAACCCGGAGGAGATGGTTCGCGAAGTCGTCCGCGCAGCATCGTACAGCAACAAGGAAAAGACATCCAAGAAGAACGTCAAGATTGTTCACGACATCAATCTTCCTCCCATGTTGATTTACGGCGATCCCATTCGTCTTCACCAGGTCCTCGGCAATCTCATTGGCAACAGCCTGAAGTTCACAGAGCATGGCTCCATCACCATTGGGGCCAAGGTGGACTCCGAAACCACAGAGAAGGCGACGTTGACATTTTGGGTCAAGGATACCGGCATCGGCATTTCACCACAGCAACTGGACAAGCTCTTCCTTCCCTTTAGCCAAGCCGACGAGAGCACAGCGCGAAAGTATGGCGGCAGTGGTCTCGGTCTTAGTATCTGCAAGTCACTGATCGAATCGACCATGAAGGGCAAGATCCGCCTGGACAGTGAGGAGAACGTGGGGACAACCGTCTGGTTTACTGTCACGTTTGATAAGGCCAAGCCGGAGGTGATGGCAGGTGATACCCAGAGCACATCGCCCGTTCAGATGGAGCCTCCACGGGACCGCCAACCGCGGCCACTTCCGGGCGCTGTGGAAAACGGCGATGTCAGCAGTGATCAGGTGCCGAGGCCCTACATCGACCTTACCCATATCCCACGCAACCAGCTTCGAATATGCATTGCCGAAGACAATTCCATCAATGCTAAGATTGCCATGCAGTATATGCACAAGCTGGGTTATCCGAATGTTGATACCTATGACAACGGCCTGAAAGCAGTTGAGGGTCTGCGGGAGAAGGCGCGGCAGGGAAACCCGTATCACATTATACTAATGGACGTACAAATGCCAGTGCTGGATGGTTATGAGGCGACCAAGATGTTGCGAAACGATCCGATAGATTCTGTCCGCAATGTTCTCGTGATAGCCATGACAGCCTCGGCCATTCAGGGCGATCGAGAGAAGTGTCTCGCTGCGGGTATGAACGATTATCTTGCCAAGCCGGTTCGAGGGGAGCTGCTGAAGAGAAAGCTGGATACTTATCTGGGAGCGAGCGCGAGCATGAGTTTCAGCACTCAGGTTGGTCAGCCCAAAGTCACCACTAACACCACTAACACCACTGCCACCACTACCACCACTGCCACCACTGCCACAACCTCTACCATCTCTTCGACCCCTATCACAACCCCAACAACTCCCATGACTCCCATAACCCCAGATCAATGAAACCTACTATCTCTTTACCATCGAGAATTGTGGCATTCGAGTGCTTAGAATCTGACGCCTCAGCTTGTAAACAGCGTTTTCTCGAACGGCGCTTCGCCCAAAGACCTGGAAGCCCCCAACCCATCAACCCCGGCAGCAGCAGTAACAAAAAAGACGTCGACACTCCACTTTCCTCGCCCGTGCCACCTCCTTTGGCTGATAACACCGCTGCTTCTGCTTCCACTGTCAAAATCGGAGTGGGATCCGCTGCGGCTTCTCTTCGAGAGGTGGTGGCCAGCAACGTGAACGGCGGTGAATCGAGACCGTCTTCACCCAAACTCCTCTCTCCTAGCGGCAAGAACAGCAAACAAAGCCACAGAAGAGGCAGATCATACGATATCCGCCTCCTTCGCCCCTCGGAGTCCACAACAAGCTTCAGTAACGTCACAAATACCAGCGGCGGAAGCAGCAGCAACAGCAACAGCAACAGCAGCAGCAAGAAGTTGGACAGGCGTTTGTCCTCTCCATCTTTGTCGTCCAGCGAGCGGCGAGGATCGGTGCCGGACCTGGCAGCTGGTGGCGGTGGTGACAAGCGGCAGCCTAAGAAGCTGGTGGAGGCTCGGGAGTGATTTTGTTTTCCCCTTTTTCTTTACTTTGTCTCATGCATTTGGTTGGTGGCGAAAACATTAGTTACGGTACTAGGATGTCGGACTTGGAACTTGCAGGTTTTGCCAGTTACAAGTTGAGGGTCCTACGCGCGGGTGGGAGATGGCAGGGAAGGTGGAAGTGGAATCAGCATGCATTTTGGCTGCCATAGAGAGTTTGTCCAGGAGGGTTCAGGTGGTCCACTATCCAAGGACAAAAACCATATACCATATAGAGAGAGATGTTCAAAGATAGAGCGGCAGAAAGAAATTAGGGAGGCGGGGAAGGTGGACATTGTTAAGAGGACATGTTTAGGAAGCGAATCGCGGAATGCGAGACGGATGGAGGTGTATGTATGGGTTTTACATACCGGTTACCGCCGTTCTTACATGTATTTGGTGTGGTATGTGATGTGCTTTTTTGTTCTCCATACTTTTGGAAGGACAAGGGAATAGGGAACGCGGGTTCACATGAGCGGCGCAGCGAAAAGCATATGGAACTAGTTAGTGCATGAAATGGGTCTTTTTCTCAAATTTTGTGGGCGCACCGTCGGAATATAAAGGTTGGGGGTTATCTGATTATGTTGTGGCTGGTGCTTTCCTCACGTACTTTCATTCTTCTTTTGATCCCTTTTCGAGTTTTGTCATGATGCCCCCATCCGTATATCTATAGCTCGAAATGTACAAGGTGATAGATGCAATAACAGCTCCCATGTCCATGTCTCGGTCAGGATACAGGTCTGAAGTTTAGCATCCTGCCCAGTAGTGAACCCTTGACCTTTGACCAAAGATGGCACATAAAAAAACACAACTCAGGTGGTATATCATCATTACAGCAATCACGCTCGCTTATCTTGCTTATAGTTCCATCCCACTTCCTCCACTAACCCCAGAAAGCAAGTGTATCAAAGATCATGACGACGACACCGAAGCCGCGCCAGAAGCGGCCGCACCAGCACCAGCAGCAGCGCCGCCCGCTCCCGTCGGCTCCACCGGTTTTGTATACGTTACCTTTTCAACCGCCACGTTTTCCACCCCTTTCTCATCCTTCCTCAACTGATAGACATAAAGCGTCAACGAAATACCCTGGACATCCATCAGACAAAAGCTCGGCACCACCTCCTCATCTTCATCGAACCCCTTATCCTGCTCTTTTTGTCCTTCTCCATTGCTGCCGAGGTTAACAGCCCACGAAGCAGCAGTAGTCGTAAACGCCCCCGTCGCCGACCCGGGGTTCACGAAAAACTTGTCCATGTACTCGAAGCACTCGAACTTGTGCGTGCCGCCCCAGCAGAGCACATCCACGTCCAGACGGTTGGCTTCGGCTAGGAGGAGGTCCGGTTCGTTGGATACCAAGGTGAAACCTTCGAGGAAGCCGATGCGAAGGTTGCCATGCGTGACAACGCTGGTGAGGGGGAGGGAGGTTGCTTCGACGTCCATGCGGCCGCGAACGATTTTCAGGTCGGGGGCGATGGTGCGCAGGTATTCGTAAGTTGACCGGTCAGTTAGGTTGCCGAGGCAGAGGGTTTGGGAGATCTTGCCGGGGGCGAGGAGTTTCTTGAACTATTTTGGGGCGAGAGGTGTTAGAGAGGTTGAAGGGAGAGAGAGAGAGGCGAGGGAGAGGATGTGAGAAAGCGCACTTTGGCGGGAATGTCCAGGGCCCGGTCTGGGATGTGGAGGTCACCGATCACGAGAATTAGGAAGGCCATTTTGGCGGTTTGTTCGGACGCGCTTGAGAATAGAAGGTGGCTGAGAAAGTTGGTGTATGTAAGAAGGAGGCGCCGTGAAGATGCCGACGTGTGCTGGAAGCCGTCGAGGTTCCAGTACAAGGAACTGGCGTTGTCGGTCAGCCAACTTGTGGACTGATTCGTATTATGGTATTATTCGGTGTTGTCTATTTGGCGACCAAAAAAAACCAACCAATTGGCGGGAAGATGGATAATGGACGATAGTGATGATGCGTCTGGTCGTCGATGTTATTGTTGACGTCTCGAGCTCGGAGCTTGCGTCGGTGGGCTGCAGTGCGATTTGGTGACAAGAAGTGACAGACGGGAACCAAAGTGACGGAGGGGAGCTGTGGTGGGTGGAGACTCGCGCGGACCTTGTCGGGCAAGCTGAATGATAGAGTGGGGGAGGAGGCTTAAGTTAGTTGACACAACGCCCCTATGTACACTATGTACCTTATCCCCGCATTTTGAGCCTCGCGTCCCCAACCTCACCTGCCCGAGGGGAGAATCCGACCCCCGGCCCTTCCGCGACGCTGACTGTTCTACAACATCTTGTGACATTCTCGTCCGACTTGGTGTGCAGGGTCCCCGGGCCTGTCAGCAGTTCCGATCCCGGCGGAGTCAAGAGCGTCGAGGCACAAGTACCGAATCGGTTGACGGCACCCGCCGCGCCGCCGCCAGCATGGCCAGCGCACCCATTCAGGGGACGCCAGAATTGCCCCCCGGAATGCCATTCTCATTCTGGAACGCGGACTTGGCTCGGAATCTCGTGTCTGTAGTCGCTATAAAAGTACTTTAGCTGGCGGTAGATTCATAATTCCGCTTCGGCACACGTTTTGTGGTCCATTCCTTCCTTCAATTTTTTTTCTTTTTTTCCCCTTGATTGCGTTCAGAAGTTGTGTCTTTGACTCTGACCGACTTCCTCTTGGGCTTGACTTGTAACTGAAGACTGAGCTCGGTAACAGCCACTACAAGTCTACGACCTAGCATCAACACTTGGAACAGCCGCATTAGGTACCTAAGTAGTTTGGGGAACCAGGTGGAGGAGTCCTGCATAACGCTCCCAGCGCCTTCCAAACTGGCACACTCAACGTCTCTTGTACGCTCGGCGCTTCGGCGGTCATCGGTACTCACGGGAATAACATCATCGATGCCCCGCTCCAGCGGCCCGGTCGACTCCCCCGCTCGGCTGTCCCTGATCTCCCGTCACCTCGCCCCCGATTACCCACTCAACACTCCTTATACCGTCGAGAGACACCCGGACAACATCGACACCTCTCTCTTGCCCAAGACACAAACCCGCGCCCTCACCACCGACACCACTCCAGCCAACATGTCTACCCAGCCTGAGCACCCGACCCTCCTTATTCCCGGCCCCATCGAGTTCGACGATGCTGTCCTCAACTCCATGAGCCACTACAGGTGAGATCCGAACGGCGCAAACCAAGCAACCAACCACCTGTAATTGGCTGACCATATTTGCAACAGCGAGAGCCATGTCGGGCCTGGCTTTGTTGCTGTCTTCGGCGAGACCCTGTCGATGCTGCGCAAGCTGTTCCAGACCACGGACCCCTCCGCTCAGCCTTTCGTCCTGTCCGGCTCCGGTACCCTAGGCTGGGATCTCGTTGCCGCCAACCTGATCGAGCCTGGTGAGGATGCGCTCGTGCTTAGCACCGGTTACTTTGGCGATGGCTTCGCCGACTGCTTGAAGGTCTACGGCGCCAACGTCACCCAGATCTCTGCCGAGCCCGGCAGCCGCCCTCAGCTCCCTGAGATTGAGAAGGCTCTTTCGGAGAAGAAGTACAAGCTCCTCACCGTCACTCACGTCGATACCTCTACTGGTGTCCTCAGCGAGCTCAAGAATCTTTCCGAGCTCGTCCACAGGGTTTCCCCCGACACCCTCGTCATCGTCGATGGTGTCTGCTCCGTCGCCTGTGAGGAGATTGACTTTGATGCCTGGAAGCTCGACGGTGTTGTCACTGCCTCCCAGAAAGCCATCGGCTGCCCTGCCGGTCTCTCTATCTCCATGTTCAGCGGTCGCGCCATCCAGGCCTTCCAGAACCGCCAGACCCCACCTACCTCTTACTTTGCTTCAATGAAGAACTGGCTTGCCAGTGAGTACCGCTTCACGTTACAATCTACCCTTTTGATACCACTTGCTAATGTATGATGCGCGCGAACTACAGTCATGCAGAACTACGAGGCCAAGAAGCCCTCTTACTTCGCCACTCCTTCTCCCCAGCTCGTTCGCGCCCTCCATACCGCCCTTACCCAGATCGTCGCCCAGGGTGTCAAGGAAAGGTTCGCGGCCCACAAGGCGGCTTCGGACAAGATCAAGGCGGCCGTTGCTGCTCTCGGCCTCAAGCAGGTCGCCGCCAACCCTGATGACCAGGCCCACGGCATGACCGCCATCTACCTTCCCGAGACCGTCAAGGGCGCTGAGCTCCTCCCCAAGCTCGCTTCGAGGGGCGTTGTGTTCGCCGGTGGCATCCACAAGGCCATCGCGGCCAAGTACATCCGTTTTGGCCACATGGGCGTCAGTGTGTTGGATCCTAGCAGAGGCCATGTCGAGAAGGCCATCAAGGCTCTCGAGGAGGGTCTGTCCGAGTGCGGTTATCAAAAGGCTTAGAAGTGGGGTGTAGTGTAGGAACGTGGTGTATATAAAAAGCCGGAGTCATTTTGGAGTCACGATATACCATCCTGGATTTTGTTGATTGAAGAAGAGGTCCCTGATGGATCTGCAAGCGGATTTGAATATATGAAACTGTGAAGACTGCCTAACAAAGTTGCAGAGTGCAGTGACGTGCTGGGGGTGCAAGAGGGCCGTGTAGAAGAAAGGAACACCCCCTTCCCCACATTGTTGCGAATGGAGTCTCGTCCCTCAATGGTAACCCTTGCATGAGTGGTTGCATTATGTACTACTGGTCACTATCCGCTGCAATGCGGTTGATATGCCGCCACTACCTCTACTGGGACATGCCAGCGATCCGGGGGTGTCCTTGATAAGGAGTCTAACAGTGAAAGGGACATAGTGTACGTTGGAGAAGGGAAGGGAAGTAAGTACCGAGGCTCGACGAGCAAACCTCAACTGAACAGCCGGTACGCCTGGAGCTTTTCGTCCTCGTCTTGGACAATCCAGGGTAGCAAAAGCGGGGCGATCCTGACGCCTGGGCATCTCCACTGGGGAAACATTGATACGGAGCTATCAAGTGATGTACATAGGTAGCAGCTGTACCGGATAGATGGGCCGCAGTGAAGATGCGGAGATATCTCAGGATAGCTATATCCGGTCGGCCTATGTAGTGTAGAATTCCAAGGGCTGTGTTTGAATTGTCCAGACTTGGGTAGCAGAAGGTCCTTGATGCTGACATATGTATGTTGGTATATATATGGAACGGTGGTGAAATGGTATTACCTAGGTCTGTTCGTTAGGACAAGAGCGGACTTTGTGAGCTTCTGAAGTATCTACAGGCAGTGTGTTATCCCAAGTTAAATACCTAGCAACCAAGCATAAATTACCCGGTATACATTCATCTGATGCCCTTTGGGAAGAAACAATCATGCTGACTCATCGACAAGAACTGTTCTCGGAAAGCCCACGATGGGTCTCAGTTGGATGGCTTTGGGCTGCTGTGAAGACTACAAGCAGATAAATACCGTTTTGGGTTGCGCGGACGGCATCTGGAACCCGACGTGATCCCAGTGGTGAGATGTGAAAAGAACGACTGGAAGGGAAGCCGTCCCAGAGGCGCGGAATCCCGTGGTCCAGTCGAAAGGTCCAGCGAGCGCGCGCGGAGGGCGTCAACATCCGTCAACCTCCGCAACGAACAAGGGCGTCCTGGTGGACGTGCATGCCAAATCGTTCGGAACGGGAGGCTGGTGGGGTCCATCACGGTTCGGCCTTTCTGGGCTTTCGACCCGATTCTCAATGCTCCAGTCCAGCTCCAGCTCCATAACCTCCGTCATCCCACTGCAAATTGAAGTGCACATCCCACTGCACCGCCGCGCGCAGGCCCCTTCACGCCTCTTGCACTTCTGCAGCCTCGAGGTTCGCTTCATTTTTTTGCCAAACTGAACCTTTTGACTTGCACTGATCAACACGCAAAAACGCCAACACAACAACCCGACTCGACCCGTTCGTTGTTTCCTTTCTCTCGCTCCAGGCTCGCGACTACGACGATTGTGCCCCACGTCTCCTCCTGTCTGGATTATTCATTCCATCTCCCGGCCCCAGCAACCCGGCCGTCAAACCAGCTGCGCTTCGCTTCGTTTCGTTTGGCACGCACCGTGACCCGGACAACCAAACAGACCTGGACCTAGGCCATTCACACACCACGTCTGGACCCAAACACCCCTCACCTCGCAATCCCTCCATCTACCTTAGCCTTTTCTCCCCGCCAGACCAGCTGTCGATCTCCTCCCATTTGTCTCGCCGAATTTTGGTAGCAGCAAACCCATCTTGCTCGAGACTATCCACTGTTCAGCTACCCGCTGTACCTACCTTGCTACCACCCCTCTGCATCCCAAACCAGTAGAGGAACGCGACCATGCCCCTCTCCATCGAGGAACTGGACAACCAAGTCCGCACCTTCTATGAAGGTCGCGGTGAGACGGTAAATAACGACGCCGGATTCCGGTTCGCCCTGTGTAGATGCTGACGTTCTGTTTTCTGCTTGAATAGCAAGCTCAGGCCCAAACCGTCTTGAACCAGGTATGTCTGCCAATAGCCAAACTCGACCCTCCTTTGTCGTGACAACCAGGGCTAACATAGCATCCTTCAAACAGTTCAAGGAAGATCCCGATGCCTGGTTGATGGTCGACGAGATCCTCCAGAAGGCCACCTACGAGCAGACAAAGTGTCCGTCAATCCCGCCCACGTACCAAACAGTCCATACTTAGAATGTCATATACTGACAGGGTTTGTAGACTTGGGGTTACAGGTCCTCGACAATGTGATTATGACGAGGTGGAAGGTGCTCCCCCGCGAGCAGTGTCATGGTACGTGAAAACATTGGCTTATTGAAAGCTTGATGCTCACCCAGTAGCTAACTTTTCTCTCTCTCTCTCTCTCTCTCTCTCAGGTATCCGCAACTTTGTCGTTCAGTATATCCTCCAATGTTCGAGTTCCGAAGAGCTTCTCAAGGCCCACCGTGTTCTGCTCAACAAGCTTAACCTTGTTCTCGTCTCCGTCCTCAAGCAAGAGTGGCCTCATAACTGGCCTACCTTCATCAACGAGATTATCTCTGCCTCTCGCTCGAGCCTTTCGATCTGCGAGAACAACATGATCATTCTGCGACTCCTCTCCGAAGAGGTCTTCGACTATTCCGCGGAGCAGATGACGTCGACAAAGACACGGAACCTCAAGACCACCATGTGCGCCGAGTTCTCGCAGATTTTCCAGCTTTGCCAGGAAGTTCTCAACTCTGCCAACCAGCCTAGCCTTATCAAGGCCACCCTCGAGACCCTGTTGCGCTTCTGCAACTGGATCCCTCTCGGTTATATCTTCGAGACCCCTCTTATTGAAACCCTTAGGACGCGTTTCTTGGAGGTTCCCGAGTTCCGAAACATTACTCTCCAGTGTTTGACCGAGATTGGTGGTCTGCAAATAGGAGGTCCTACGGGCCAACAGCCCAACTATGGCGAGGCCCTCATCAAGATGTTCACCGAGGTCCTGACGACCATCTCCAACATCATTCCTCTCAGCATGGACTTGAAGGCGACCTACCCGGCCAGCAACTCTCGCGATCAGGAATTCATCCAGAACTTGGCGCTGTTCCTTTGCAATTTCTTTGGCATGCACCTGCCCGTAAGTAGCTGAGATTTGTGACCTCATGATCGTAGTACTAATATGGTATCTAGCTCATCGAAAACCTGCCGAACCGTGACTTTCTTACACATGGTCACTATTACCTAATCAGAATTTCGCAAATCGAAGACCGCGAAATCTTCAAGATCTGCCTCGACTACTGGCTCAAGCTCGTCCAGGAGCTCTATGAGGAGATGCAGGCCTTGCCCCTTTCCGATATGAACCCTCTTCTTAGCGGTGGTCTGCAGACCAGCGGCGCCCCGAACCCCGCTCTGCTCAACAACTACCCTCTCCGCAAGCACAAGTACAACGAAATTCTTTCCAACCTGCGTGTTGTCATGATTGAGAAAATGGTGCGCCCCGAAGAAGTCCTCATTGTTGAGAACGACGAGGGCGAGATTGTCCGCGAGTTTGTCAAGGAAACCGACACTGTTCAGCTTTACAAGACCATCCGCGAGTGTCTCGTTTATCTCACCCATTTGGATGTGGTCGACACCGAGCAGATTATGACCGACAAGCTCGCACGCCAAGTCGATGGATCCGAATGGTCATGGCACAACTGCAACGTTCTCTGCTGGGCGATTGGTTCCATTTCTCTCGCCATGAACGAAGAGACGGAGAAGAGGTTCCTTGTTACTGTTATCAAGGATCTTCTTGGACTGACCGAAATGAAGCGGGGCAAAGATAACAAGGCCGTCGTCGCCAGTAACATCATGTACATTGTCGGACAGTATCCCCGTTTCCTCAAGGCGCACTGGAAGTTCCTCAAGACGGTCGTCAACAAGCTGTTCGAGTTCATGCACGAGTCTCACGAGGGTGTCCAGGACATGGCCTGCGATACTTTTATCAAGATTGCCAAGTCTTGCAGACGCCACTTTGTTGCGCTCCAGCCTAGCGAGTCTCAGCCTTTCATTGAGGAGATCATCAGGGACCTTGGCAAGATCACTTGCGACTTGACTCCTCAACAGGTTCATACTTTCTATGAGGCTTGCGGCTACATGGTAGCTGCTCAAGGCAACAGGCACCAGCAGGAAAGGCTGCTTTCTGAGCTCATGCAGATTCCCAACATGGCGTGGCAGGAGATTATCAGGCAAGCTAGCCTCAACCCTAACATCCTCCAGGATGCGGACACCATCAAGGTTATTGGCAACATCATGAAGACCAACGTCTCGGCATGCTCATCCATTGGTACTTATTTCTTCCCTCAGATCGGCAACCTCTACAGCGACATGCTTCAGATGTATGCCGCCACCAGTCAGCTGATTTCTGAGTCTGTTGCTCGCGAGGGTGAGATTGCTACCAAGATGCCCAAGGTCCGCGGGCTTCGAACCATCAAGAAGGAAATTCTCAAGCTTATTGAGACCTATGTCGACAAGGCTGAGGACCTCCAGGCCGTGCGGGAGCAGATGGTGCCTCCTCTCTTGGATTCGGTGCTTGTTGACTACAACCGTAACGTTCCTGGTGCTCGTGATGCTGAGGTGTTGAGGGCCATGACCGCTATGATCACTAAGCTCTCGGCTTTGATGGAGGACCAGGTACCGATCATCATGGAGAATGTCTTCGAATGCACGCTGGACATGATCAACAAGAACTTCTCCGAATACCCCGAACACCGTGTCGAGTTCTTCAACCTCCTCCGCGCTATCAACCTTCACTGCTTCCCTGCGCTTTTGAAGCTTGATAACCGTCAGTTCAAGTTTGTTATTGATTCGTGCATGTGGGCTAGCAAGCACGACAACCGCGATGTTGAGACTGCGGGCCTTAACATGTGCCTGGAGCTCGTCAACAACATCGCTGAGAAGACTGACGTTCAGACCTCCAACGCTTTCTTCAATCAATTCTTTGTCAGCATCCTGCAGGATGTGTTCTTCGTTCTAACCGACCAGGACCACAAGGCTGGATTCAAGACCCAGTCCATGCTGCTCATGCGCATGTTCTACTTTGTCCACCCCGCCGATGGCTCGCCCTCAAGGATTCAGGGCCCCATTTACCAGCCCGATCAGGCCCAGCCAGGTACTAGCAACAAGGAGTTCCTCACCATGTTCGTGGGTAATCTGCTGCAGACCGCTTTTGCCAACCTTACGCCGTAAGTTTTT